GTCCAAGAGAGGGACAGAAGAGGGGCCTGAGTGGGTTGCCCCCGCCACCATCAATGTAAATGGTCTCAACTCACCAATCAAAAGAAACAGACTGGCAGATGAATCAAGAAGCAAGATCCAACAATATGCTGCGTTCAAGAAACACATTTAACCCCAAAAGAAATTCATAGACTAAAAGTCAAAGGATGGAAAATAATTCTTCATGCCACAGGAACCCAGAAAGAAGCAGGGGTAGCTATTCTATTTGCAGACAATGCAAACTTTAAGCCAAAACTAATCAAAAAAGACAAAGAAGGTTACTACATACTTTTTAAGGGAAAATTCTAAGAAGAAGACATAACAATCATAAATATTTATGCACCAAACACAGGTTCATCCAACTACATAAAACAAATATTAACAGACTTGAAAAACCAAATAAGCACTAACACAATTGTAGTGGGGAACCTTACTGCCCCATTCTCACAAATAGATAGATCAACTAGACAAAAAAACTCAACAAAGAAGTATTAGAATTAAACCATGCCTGTGAATAAATGGATTTGGTGGATCTCTACAGAGTGTTCTACCCCAAAACATCAGAATACACATTCCTCTCAGCTGCACATGGAAAGTTCTTCAAAATAGACCATATATTAGCTGACAAAACATGTTTAAGTAAATGTAGAGGAACTGAAATCATCCCATGCATACTATCTGACTATAGCACAATAAGACTGGAAATCAACAACAAAGGAAATCACAAAAACTGCATTAACACATGGAAATTAAACAACACCCTTCTGAACAATCAGTGGGTCACAGAGGAAATTAAAGATGAAGTTAAGTAGCATATACAACTAAATGATAATACCAATACAACATTATGTGATGAAAGCAATCCTATGAGGGAAATGTATAGCGATGAACTCACACATCAGGAAAACAGAATGAGCTCAAATAAACAACTTAATGTTGAACCTCAAACTTCTGGAAAAAGAAGAACAAATCAAATTCAAAGCTCATAAGAGGAAGGAAATTATAAAGATAAGACCAGAAATTAATGCAATACAAACTAAGAAAACAGTGCAAAGAATCAATGAATCCAAAAGTTGGTTCTTTGAAAGAACAAAGAAAATGGATATTGACCATTATCAATAAATAAAATTGATCAATCAAATAAAATTTATATTGACCATTAGACAACCTCATCAAATAGAGGAAAGGAAAAACACAAGTTCAAGCAATTAGGAATGAAAAGGGGGAAATCACAACAGATCCCACAGAATGCAGATCATCAATACCTACTTGAGAACCTATATTCTATTTTATTTATTTATTTATTTGTTTGTCTTTTTGAGACAGGGTCTTGCTATGCAGTTCAGGCTGGCCTTGAGCTCACTTTGTAGCCCAGGCTGGTCTTGACCTCACAGCAGTCCTCTTGCCTCAGCCTCCCAAGTGCTGGGATTACAGGTGTGTGCCACCACCCCGGTGAGAACCTGTATTCTAATAAGATAGAAAACACAGAAGAAATGGACAAATTCCTAGACACAATCAAATTGCCAAAACTAAATCAAGAATATATAAAAATTCTAAATGACCCAATATCGGCCACCAAAATTGAACATGTAATTAAAAATTTACCAACCAAGAAAAGCCCAAGGCCTGATGGATTCAATGTTGAATTCTATAAGAAATTTAGAGAAGAACTAATGCTGAAACTCTTTAATGAATTGAAAGGGAAGCGGTACTTCCAAAATCATTCCTGGAAGCAAGTATTACCTTGATTCCAAAACCAGAGAAGAATGCAACCAAAAAAAAAAAAAAAACTACGGGCCAATCTCCCTACTAAACACAGATGTAAAAATCCTTAATAAGATACTGGCAAACAGAATGCAGCAAATCATCCAGAAGATTATACACTATGACCAATTAGGAGTCATCCCAGGGATGTAGGAATGGTTCAACATATACAAATCAATAAATATAATACAACATATTAGCAGAGCCAAGGACAAAACCCATATGATCATCTCAATAGATGCAGAAAAAGCATTTGACAAAGTCCAACACCCATTCATGGTAAAAACGCTACAGAAAACTGGAATAGATGGTCTTTACCTCAATCTGATTAAACCCATTTATGACAAACCAACAGTTAACATCATATTAAATGGTCAAAATCTGAAAGCTTTCGCTCTAAAATCAGGAACAAGACAAAGACGTCCACTATCACCACTCCTATTCAGTATAGTTCTAGACACATTAGGTGGGGCAATTAGACAAGAGAAAAAAAGGAGGAAGATATGAAAGGAAGTTAAATTATCATTATTTGTAGATGACATGATACTCTACATAGAAGACCCCCAAAACTCCACCAAAAAATTCATAGATTTAATATCCAAATTCAGTAGTATGGCAGGATACAAAGTCAACACTCAAAAATCACTAGCATTGCTGTACACAAACAACAAATTTGTGAGAGTTTTACACAACAAATTTTTTTACACAATTAACAATTTTTGTGTTCTCTCACAACAAACTTTGTGAGAGAAATTAGGGAAAACACACCCTTCACAATAACACCCAAAAAAATGAAATACTTAGGAGTCAACCTAACAAAGGATGTAAAAGATCTGTACAGTGAAAATTACAGTACCCTAAAAAACAAGATTAAAGTGGATATCAGAAAATGGAAAGCGATCCCTTGCTCTTGGATAGGAAGAACCAACGTAGTGAAAATGGCCATACTCCCAAAACTGCTATACAGATTTAATGCAATCCTGATCAAAATACCATTAGTATACCTCATAGATCTAGAGAAAATATTCCTAAAATTCATTTGGGACCAGAAGTGACCTAGAATAGCAAAAGCAATTCTGGGCAACAAAGGGAAGGCATCAGCATCACAATCCCAGACCTGAAATTATACTACAAGGTTACTGTGATAAAAATCAGCATGGTATTGGCAAAAAAAAAACAGACCTGAGGATCCGTGGAACAGAGTAGAAGATGCAGACACAACCCCAAACGCACTCAGCCACCTTATCTTTGATAAAAGAGCCAAACATGTTCACTAGAAGAAAGTCTCTTTAAAAAATGCTGGTGGAAAAACAGGTTTTACACATGCCAAAGACTAAAACTGGATCCATGTCTATCACCCCGCACTAAACTAAAATCAAAATAGATCAAAGATCTAAATATTAAAATAGAAACACTAAAGTTACTGGAAGAGAAAATAGATAGAAATTTCGAAGACATAGGTATAGGCAGAGACTTGATAAAACCCAGACTGCAAAGGAAATAATACAAAGAATAAACAAATGAGATCTCACCTTATTAAAAAGCTTTCACACGATGAAAGAAATCACCAACAGAGTGAAGAGACAACCCACAGAATGGGAAAAAATTTTAGCTAACTATCCTTCAGACAAAGGACTTCTATCTAGAAATATAAAGAACTGAAAAACAATCAGACCCCCAAATTCAAAGACCCAGTCCAAAAATGGGCATGATAGTTGAATATATTACTTCTCAGATAAAGAAATGCAAATGGCAAATAAATATATGAAAAGATGTTCAACATCATTGGTCATTCGAGAGATGCAAATTAAAACAACATTGATATTCCACCTCATCCCAGAAAAAAATGGCCATCATCAAAATCAACCAATAACAAATGCCAGCAGGGCTGTGGGGGAAAAGAACCCCTTCTCCACTGTTGGTGGGAATGTAGACTGGTGCAACCACTGTGGAAATCAATGTGGAGGTTCCTTTAAAAAATAGGATTAGAGGTCCCATTCAACCCAGCTATTCCCCTTCTGAGTATCTTCCCGGAAGAATTAAAAACATCATACCACAGTGATACATGTGTACCCATGTTTGTAGCAACACAATTTGTCATAGCTAGATCATGGAAACAACCCAAATGCCCATCAACTTAGGAATGGATAAAAAAGATGTGGTTTTTTTTTAATATAATAGAGTGCTACTCAGCCATAAAGAAAGAAAAACTAGAAACTTTTATAGGTAAATGAATGCAGCTCAAGACCATACTCATAAGTAAAATAAATCAGTACTATATGTGTAAACATCATATTGTCTCACTGGTGTGAGAAACTGAATGAGTAAGTAAGACCCAAAACATACAATAGACATTCTGAAATGGGAAAAAAACTTCAAAAGAAAAGACAAACTGTGATGGGGGAAAGAGGAAAGAAAAAAGAAAAAAATACATTTATGCTCAAGGTAGTTAAGATAGTTATACAGCTATTTCCTCTTAATTCATTGAAAAGAAAGGTTTGTGCTGATATTATTCGGACAAGATATCATGCCTGTACCTTGCATAACTTGAATAACTACTACATAGACAACAGTATGTAATGTATTAATTATTATAACTCTCCTACTAACCTGTTTTGAAACTATTTTATTGGGGGTTGTTTCTCTTTAAAATAAAAAAAGTGGAAAATTCTTCCCTCAGTTGCTTGCTGTTCTGGGTCCCAGTGGGCTGACTTGTTTCCAGTGGCAACAGTTGCCAAGGATTGGGGCCACCGTTGCTGCTGTTTGCTTTTAGGCCCCAGGTAATCTCTCTGGCCCTTCCAGAAAATTCCCCCTGTGCCCACATTCCTATACCTTCATCTGCCCATTCTTTTCCAGGGGATTGCCCATGCTTCTCCAGGACACCAAGCTGAATTTCTCCTAAAGGTTGCCATAGCAACCTGAGGAAACTTGGCTTGGAGAGCCCTAGGATTCCACAAGCTGCCAGAACTAGGATGTTTGTGCTGTGATTGTTGAGATAAAGGGTTCTGACTCATGCCCGTTTCCTGGGCTTGCCTGCTTCCTGGGCTCCAGCACAAGGAACCGAGCCTCTGTGGGCAGCTCTTCTAGATGGGATACTGGCTGAGCCCCTTGGACGGCTCTCTGTAAGCCACTCTGGTTCCTTCGCTCCCAGCAAGTATTTTACGTGCCATCCAGGGTAGGACTCAAGTCTGATCTGACTGCTCCTTTCTGCTTTTCAGGACCTTAAAGAATTGGTTGAGAAGCTGGAAAAGAATGAGAGAAAGTTAAAAAAGCAACTGAAGATTTACATGAAGAAAGCCCAAGACCTAGAAGGTAGAGTGTGTGTGCATGTATTGTGTTTCGTGAGGCAGAGGTGCACATGGTCAACTCCTGCAGGGCTGAGCTGCTACTCTTCAGCACACTGTGCCAGCTTTCTGGTGGCCTTGCCTGCTCTAGCCATGCAATAGAGGCATTCAGACCTCATGAGCTTACGCAGCTGTAAGTTGTCAGAGTCTGTATGGAAAATGTGAATCAAGCAGGTTTTGGGTGCTTACTTTGAGCCAAGAATCTGTGGAGTAGAAGAAATGGGGCACAGAGGCTGACCTGGTAGTTCCTGCCTATGGGGCACAGAGGCTGACCTGGTAGTTAGAGACAGTCCTTTCTGGGGTAAGACAAGAATACTGTATAAGATGCAGACCCCATCTCCAGGGCCCTCACCCCATGGCCTGGAGCATCAGGATTAAACTTCCAGTCTGGAGTCCAGTTTAGAAAGTTATCTAAATCACCATTGTGAAGCACCAAGAATTGCTTCTACTCTGTCCCCCTGCTGCATATCTAAGCATGTCACTCTTTAAGCACATGCCACTCTGTGTGGAACCCTGTGTGGCCCCTCATCCCCCAGATATCCCTCTCATCCTCCCACCTTTGCCTCAAGACCCACCACCCTCGGGCTCCTGTCCTATCCTGTCCCAACATTACAACCTGTTGGCACAGTCCTGGTCACACGTGTTATTTTGTGTAATCGCCTGCTTATACCCATCTGCTGCTGCAGACCAGGGCCTCTAAGAGGCCGGGGTTGTCCAGGCACATAGTCGCATGTAGGCAGGTGTGGTCTCTTCCCAGCTGATGATCTCTCCCCATACCTGCCCCTGAAGCCCTTCTGTATGTGGCTTTCTCATTTTCTGTTTGTTCTCATTCTCCAAGTTTCTTGGCTTCCAGTTTCTCGCTTTTCCTTAGTCCTAAAAGCCTATCATTTTCTTCCTGTGTCTGCCTCTCCTTCTCCTGTGACCAGTCCTTGTCCCCTGTCCCCAGATGACTGAGTAGCTTCCCAGGCTCTGCCTCTGGCCACAGCACTGTCTGTCCTCCATCCCCTCCCCATGGCCTACAAAGTAAAATCCTGGCTGTCCTTTGGTGTTCCTTTCCACACTGCCCCTGCGCCCACACACAGAGCCTCCCTGTTTCTCTCCCAAGCATCCAGAAGCTTGTGTGAAGTGAGATCTGGTAGACTGATGGACCAGCCCTTTCTGCCTAGTAGTGAAGAGTCACTCCCATCTTTCAGCCCACCTGCTCCCTTGAACCCTTCCAGCTTCAGCTGCCATCAGCACCCATGGTGCACACACCTGGCCTGGCACCTGTCCAGGCTGCATTGTGTCTGCTCCAGTGCTTAGAATAATTCTCTATGTGCAGTAGACACCCAGGTGTGCCTGGAGGTAAATCTGCGGATGTCTCCCACCCTTCCCTCTCAGGCTAAAGGAAGGCTTGAATGAGGGTTGAGCAAGCCTCTATAACCCTCAAATGTATCACCAAAGCTCCTCCTGAGTAATTACCTCTGTAGTCACATGGACTGTCTTTAGCAGGTTCCCAAACCTTTGGGTGCCAGAGGCAGTGTCCTTCTGCATCCTGGCCACCATTAGGCTTCCCTGCCCGTGGCCATAGACAATGTCCTCAGTCTTGGACCCCTGCGGTTGCACTACAGCTGTGTCATGATGTCTGCTATCCAGCCACATGAGGGAGCAAGCACAGCAGGCCTGGCCAGGGCTATAACAGCCTCTCAGAAAGATGGCACCCCGCTTCCTTACAACTTGCTGGGGAAAAAGAAGCAGCTGCCAACAGAATGGATTAACCATCCTGCTCCTTCATACCCTTCGTGAGTTTTCTCTGCTCCAAAACCTGTCCATTGCCGTTTCAAGGGTTTTTCCTCCGCTTGTCTGGAGTGGACACAGAATCAAGTGCTGGATCTTAAGGCCACATCTAAAGTGTGGTACAGGCTGCTGTGGCAGACCACATGGAGTGTGGGAGCTCCGGGACCCAGAGCGCTGATCCCCAGACCCAGGTCCCAGCCTCTTCCCACCAGTCCTAGACCTCCCCATAACCTGCCACTGGGCGTCCTTGTCTTAGTCATTTTCGTGTCACTCTGGTACAATACTGACACCCACAACTTAAAGCAAGAAAGATTTATTTTGGCTCACAGTTTGTTGAGGTTTCAGTCTGTAGTTGGCTGGCTCCAAGGCAGGCAGCATGGCAGTGTGGGGCATGGCAGAGGAGGCTTGCTCATCGCATGGCACTCGGGAAGCACAGAGAGGGAACGGGAAGGAGACGGACCCTTCCAGGCCATGCTCCCAGTGACCCACTTCCTCTGGCCAGGCTTTACCTCCCAAATCACAATTAGCTATGAACTCGGCTGTGGACCATTTGATGAGTATCACAGCACCAGGTTCCAATCACCTCCCAAAAGCCCCACCCAGGAGCAGGTGAGGCTTTAGAGCAACACCAAGTTATTAACTGTGACAGTCCTCATTCATGTTTCCTCTCCTCTCTCTCCCATTCAGCTGCCCAGGCGTTGGCCCAGAGTGATAGGAGGCACCATGAGCTGACCAGGCAGGTCACGGTCCAGCGGAAAGAGAAGGACTTCCAGGGCATGCTGGAGTACCACAAGGAGGACGAGGCCGCCCTCATCAGGAACCTGGTGACAGGTCAGGACCCACCAGGGCACCTCACACACCAGCCCTCACACTACCTCCCCACTCCCATTTCTGTGTACTACACAGCCCTCCTCAACCCCAGTCCTCACACAGCCCTGCCTGCTCCTCACCCTCAGACTCACTGTTCCAGCTGCCCCTAACAACAACCCACTGCTTTTCCAGGTAAAAAAATTCCACCCAAATGGAGGCTCGTATAAACTTGGGAAAGGGAAGCATCTCTTCTGCCTGGGTGGGTGAGGATGGGGGATCTACTGGCATGGCTCCGGCTGCCACTCACTTCTCCAGAGCCACAGCCACAGTCCCCTTTACTTGGCGAAGCCCTGTATGAGTGACAGCACTTTGGCAGTCAGCTCGGGGCGCATCCTGCTGCCCAGATCTCTGCTGACCACCTTAGCCTCCTCCCCTTGTCTTTATCCTCACAACAGCCCTTTCAGTAGATACTATGTTACTCTCATTTTGTAAACAAAACCAAGGCCATGCTAGTAGCCTGTCTAGGTCACAGAACAGGTCCACAGTGGATCAAAGACTCAGATTCCTTCTGTTTGTACAGAACTTCACACTTCCTAAACACTGTGTGATGTAGCACATATGGAGATGGGGATGGGTCTGGAGTTAGCCTGTTTGCAAACTTGGCCCTTTCTTGCTGGCCATGTAGCTGAGGACCAGTGTTCTCATGAGTAAGCACCAGTAGCACAGAATTATGAAAATCAAGGTTAATAATATGTTGCTCACAGCATGACCAGCAGCATCAACATCCTCTCAGAAAATGCTAGAACTGCAAAATTCCAGGTTCTGCTATAGACTTCCTGAATCAGAATGCATATAGCAAGAAGCCAGGTAGTTCACCTGCTCACTGAAGTCTGACAAGCAGAGTTGATGGGTGCAGAGGGTAAGACAAACATTGCAAGTGTAAAGGAATTCAGTGCAGGCTACTGAAGTCCCACTCCGCAGAGCACCTGTGCCTAGGTCAGGATCCTACTGGTGCATTGCAGAAGTTCATCGAGGTAGCCAGTACTGTCCCTGCGTTCACCTGCAGTTTCTCACCCAGGCATGTGACAGTGTCAGGGCTGACCTGCCTGGCCCTGATGTGCTCCCCTGAGTTACCAGGCAGCTCTTGGAGCTGCTGTTGTGCAGAGTTCCCCACCCCATCTTGGTCCTCAGGACTGAAAGACCTGCTACCTCAGCTGCCAGTAGAGGAGAGCTTTCTCTGTTAACTTCTGCCCCTCAGGGTTACTTTTCCTGGATAATCAGTGAGTGAAGTCCGCATTGTATTTGTAGGTTGTTCACATTTGTGCTTGGATAATTCCATATGGCTGGGAGAGGGTGCTACCCTTTGGGCTGGCATACAGAGCTCTTGGGAGCTGCTTTCCTCACTGACCTCAGCATGCTTTGCCAGTCATGTCGACCCCTCCCCCTCTGGTGTCATGCCCCATATGCCTTCAACAGGCCACCTTCCTGCTCTGTGCCCAGCCCAGTCCAGCAGCTTCCTGCACAGCCAGGAGGAAGAATGCTTGGTGGTCTTATCCTCTGCACCCCAAGGACGAGCTCCCTTTTCTGTGGTGTCCAGTGTCCCCGTCTGTAAAGTAGCATAGTGGAACAGACCTTGCCTACCACATCACATGATGTATAACAGTGGTGGAAGTGCCAGATGGAAACTGCAAAGCCTCCTCACAATAAGGAATTCAAAGAAACAACAGCTTTTGCTGGGTTAGTAAAGTTCAAGTAAGAGACAAACATTACAAGTTTAGGGGCTGGGGATTTAGCTCAGCAGCACAGCGCCTGCCTGGCAAGCTCAACGTTGTAAGTTCAATTCCCGGTACCAGAAAAAAAAAAAAATTACAAGTTTTAAAGGAATTCAGCGCAGGCTACTACAGTCCCACTCCTCAGAGCACTGTGCCTAAGCCTGGGGCACGGGAAGAATGAAGTACGCCTTCTGTCTAGAATGGACTGTCTTCCAGTTGTTTACTTTGGATGTTTTTAGTAGCTCACTTACAGCTGAACATTTTGCTGTTTTATCAATGTTAATTTGCCCTATAACTGTCCATGATTAAATGTGACACAAGTTCACCTGAAACTTCTTTAAACAGGCTGCAATACTCAGGAACAAACCTTTATACTCTAGTGAATGAAGCTCAAAGTTCACAGCACCAGGGTTAATAAATAAGACTGACTATGTAACTTTAATAAATTAAATAAATAAATAAATACCAAGCTGGTGACCTCTTGCTGCTGTCATTGCTAAAGTGGCTCCAGGCAAGATCACCTTCTGCTGAGTTACCCAGGAAAAGCACCCAGTCATCTGTCCCCAAAAAGACCCCATCCAAAGATGGACCACCTCTTAGAAACTAAGCACTAGCATGTTGCTTTGGAGGAGAGAAGGGAGTAGCGTCATGGTCTCCTCCCTAAAGATGCTAAGATCTAGCTGGGAAGCCCAATAAAGGCTGTTTACTCACAGTAAGAACTTAGGGGTTGGAAGTCTAGGCCTAAAAATTTTTTTCTGGATAAATGCTATTAGCATTCTAATTAGAGCTAAAGGCCAGTGTGCACCCATTTGTTGAATTTACAAAATGCCTAAATGTTAGACCATGTACCCAAAGTATTAAGGCCTGTAGTTATCATTTAACTAGAAGGGTGCATTTGAAAGGATGATGTAACCAAGTAGCAACTGGAGATATGGCGGCACAGCTCACCCAACCCAGATCAGCCCTAGCAGAAATCCTGGAGGATGTTGCCCACCTGCTGGTGGACTGTGGGTGGCTTCCCCTCATTGCACTCCAAGGCTGGAGGGGCTCATGGGGCTTGGTTTGGGCAGGTAATGAGAGTGAAGGCTGAGGGCTGGGATGTAGTGGGAGCCCCAGCAACATTTCCAGGCCCTGATCTCACCTGTCATCTTGCCCTTGCACCAGGTCTTTCCTCCTACTTCTCTGAGCTCCTGCCATCACTTACTGCTTTAAGCCTGGTTTGTTGGCTCCCTCAGCATGCTCCAGATTAGAAAAGAGTCCAACAGTTTCTCCCTGGCTCTCCAGAGGCTTTAGCAAGAAAGGGCCTAAGAGCTGAGTATGAGTGCATAGGTCATGGAGAGAGTGACAAGGCCCTCACATTCCTACCTAAGAAGACCTGTCTGGGGAAGGTGGGCAGGGGGATGCAGAAAAGAGGACCTGGAAGAGGTGACAGGCTGGGGAGGTGCTGGCAAAGAGGCAGAGTGGCAGTGGCCTACTAGGTCGGTTTGGCTGTGAGACATCAGGGCTAGTGCTATCAGGTAGTTCAGTCCCAAACTGATAACTACAAGGACAGAGGTTGCTCCAAGCCCTTGGCAGACTGGTTCTGTCTTTGGAAACACCCACTTTGCAAATTCTCCTGGGGCCAGCCTGTGTACTCTGGCTGCTGGAGAACAACTGTGTTCATAGTAGGAAGTGGGTGTGCCAAGAATTAAAAATTCAGGGGTACTCACCAGTAAAGAAGCCGGTTGCTCTCCATACCCCACCTCTGGCCACAGAGCCCTTCTTGGCAGAGGACTAGCACATCTCTGTGTAACTTGTGGGCCTTTTTCCTACATGCTGTAAGGATAAGGGTGTAGGAGCCTGTTTTAATATTGTAGTGCAAACTACTAGGAACTTTTGTTGCGTTTTGCTTTGCTTTGTTTTTGAGACAGGCTCTTGCTTTGTAGTGCAGGCTGGCCTTGAACTCAGTATATAGCCCAAGCTGACCTCAAACTCCAGGTGATCCTCATGCCTCAGCCTCCCAAGTGCTGGGGTTGGGCATGTACTACCACGCCTAGTTAACTTTGTTTTTTTGACTGGTGTCTGAAACTATGGGTAGCTGAAGTCAGAAAGAATTTGCATATTCTGGGCACTTTCCTTTTCTCCTGACCTAGGTGAGCTGCGAAGAATTACTGTAAGCATTTCTATTTGAAGTGAGGATTCTGACTGTTGGTATATATTCAGTTTCTGTCTGTGGTGAAAGGTCCCGAGAATGAGGTATGGCAGACGAAAAGAAAAACAAGAGAGACAAAGTTACCAGATTGGGGGACTACAGCCTCTAAGACTGAAGCCTCAATTACAATTTTCTTTAGCCTTTTATTGGGATGCAAACAAAAAGCAGCAGCAGGGCAAATGGGAGGAATCATTAACAGGATTAGTGAGGACAATACAGCTTCATTATCACGGGAACTAGACTTTGACTTAGTTAGCCATCATGTTATCCTTCCTTCAGGCATATCTCAGCAACACATCTAGTGCTATACCAGCGGCTTTCCACAGGGACTAAGGTCCTGCTATCATTTCCTTTTACAATGATGCTTTTGCTAGACTTCCTCCAGAATCACACAATCATATGGCTTGGTGAGGCTCAAAGTCCCAAACAGTCCCAAATAGGTAATACATTGAAAGGTAAACTATAGAATGTTCTTCTCCACATCTGACAGCCAAAGTGACCCCAGAGATCTCACACTCGCTGTCACTGTTTTAGACCTGAAGCCCCAGATGTTGTCTGGCACAGTGCCCTGTCTCCCCGCATACATCCTCTACATGTGCATCAGACACGCGGATTATACCAATGACGACCTCAAGGTGCACTCCTTGCTGACCTCCACCATCAATGGCATTAAGAAAGTTCTGAAGGTAAGAGGCCTGTGTGGAAGGCTGGGGTTCGCAGTAGACAGGAGGAAGGTGGCATCTCTCTGTGGCTCCTCTTGTCTGGGTTCTACAGAAGCAAGTTCTCTCAAGCCTCCAACTGTGCTAACAGGGATGCCCAGCAGTTCCCGGAAGAGGGTGCTTTCCTTTTCCAGAAATGGCAGGAAGCCCAGAACTCCAGTGTAGATCTCAAGCCACCTCCAGAGACACCCAGCACTGTACTTAGGGAGCCTTCGCTGCACAGTGCCACAGACACTGGGGAGATGTCCTGCTGCAGCCAGTGGTAGGTGGGCCTCACGCTGGACAGAGTTCAGGGCCACATGTGGAACCAGGCACTCCTCCATCTTTCCAAAAGGGCCAGGTACTTACTGCCCAGGGTGTGGCACAGGGAGAACTATTGACATGCATCATTTTACAAGGTGAGGCATCCTGGACCAGGACCCCGCTGTCACAGGTGTTGAAGCAGCTCAGGAATGCTGCCTGAGATACAAGGCTCTTCACCAATGTAAACACAGGGTAACCTGCAAAGTCCAGGTCTGCCCACAGAAAGCTGGGCTGTGTGGTAGAAAGGGGAGACTTTTAAGGGAGACTTGCCCTCAGGAAGAGGCGTTCCGGCTCCAGGCAGGCATGAGCTCCAAGTATTACTGCTCTCGGAGACTGCCTTCCGTTCTCCCTCATACTTCCCCTTCCAGATGCAAGCCATCCTCAAAAGCACTGAGGCCAGACAAATTCTGGGTCCACTGGCCCTTGGTTCCTGCTATGAGAGCACCAAGCCAGCCTTTAGCTTCTGTCTTGATGCTCCTGGAAGTGGCATTGCTTCTCTGCTCTGGTCTCCATGTGCCATTTAATCTACTCACAGCACTAAATATGTTATCCACATATTAGTGACTAAAATTTTTGTCTCTGGCTTTGACATCTTTAACAACTTCCAGCTGGAGTCTTAGGCCAGTCCAGGGCAGCCCAGGTCTGACTGTGTCACTTCCTTAGGGAGGCCTTTCTGTTATCCTGAACTAAATTAGCTCCCCCCCCACAACCTTTTTTATTGTCCACTCATACCACCCTCAGCCATTTAAAGAAGAACAATGCTTGCCCCAGAGAATGAGCTCTATGGTACAGAAGCTGGATCATAACTGTTTGGGTTGCTAAGCGGCCTTTATCACCTAGTTATGAGTTTGTTGCCATGTTGTGTAGTTGAAACCATTGGACATGTGCCTTCTACATCTGTGGAACACCAGAATATTTCACTGCCCTGCTCCCTGGCATCCCTGCTTTGAAGAGCCAATATTTCAGAATCCTGGCCAGCCAGACCAAGGGGTTAGACTAGTACCTAGGGCTGCTGGCTGAGCTTCGTCTGTACCACTTGACTTCGTGTTCTTCAGCTGAGGGGGGCAGCTTTTTCTTCATGTGTGTTCCTGAACACGCATCATTGGTCAGGGGAACAGATGGGGTTGTACGCACTGTTCCTTGAGTGGAAGAACAGGCATACAACTTCTCAGTGAGAGGTCCTCTCTGACTGCAGGAGCCCTGCCAGTCAGGGCTGCGGGGGGTGCTAGGCAACAGTGGGAGACACGGGAAGATAGGGATAGAGTGAGCATCTCACCTGACAGGAACCACTTACTCATTCCTGGGGATCTTTGTTTCTTCTCACAGAAACACAACGACGACTTTGAGATGACAACGTTCTGGTTATCCAATACCTGCCGCCTCCTTCACTGTTTGAAGCAGTACAGTGGCGATGAGGTGAGTGCTGAGATGGGCTCCCAGAAGGCATCCCTGCTCTGAATCCCCTAAGAAGATGATGTAAGGTCGTTGGAGCACCTTCTGGGACCTCAGACTGTGGGCCTGCCTTATCATCCCTGGTGACTGGAAGCCACAGGAGACCTAGTTCCAGGTGGCTTTGATCATTCCAAGGGTCCCTGAAAAGCACCCTTAAGTAAGTAGAATTGATTGGAAAGTTAGTTTGCTTAATCTACCCATTGTCAGAGTGCCGCTGGTATTCTCCAGGGAAACCCTAATGATCTTACATTTCTGAAGCCATCCTAAAAGAGCCCACGTCCCTGAATGCTGGAAGAAAGCTGAGTTGATTAGTGTGTCAGACTATATCCTAAGTCAGCTGATTAGTTTGTCCTATACAGGCCAGGTAAAGATAGTCACAGGTAAAGAAGGCAGCCCCTAATCAGAACTACATTAGTGTAAACTGACCTTGAGGCCCAGCTTCATGCTTCCAACCAAACTTGATTCCTTGTCCAGTGATTTCAGATTTGTCTTGGGGCAACTGATACCTTCATTTCATGTTCCTCTCTGGACCTTTGGGGCCCAGCTCTATCTAGAACTCCCCCTCCTTGATTCTGGTCCCCAAAAGCCTCTCCCCTATGCTCTGCATTCAGCCTGGTGACCTTGTAATAAATGGTGTGCTTTCCACCTAGTGTCTCCAGTGAGAGCCTCGCTGGCTGCAGCCCTGCCCACTCCCAGGTCCCTGCAGGTCTCCTCTACTTCCCTTTCTCTCCTTGTGTTCACATATCTCACTATCCACACTTCCCACAGTCAAGATGTAGTGTAGATGAGCACCACACAACAATTTTTAGAAATTTGTTCTATCTGTTATGCCAAAACAAATTTTGACACTCTCCTCTATGAGACACTACAAGGAGATGCCAGCCCAGTCAGTCTTACCTTCTTTGGATGCTGGCTTGATTTAACAGTTCTCTTTGAAATCATAACCTGAGTTTGATCATGTGCTTTAGTTCTGAAAGGGACAGGTTAAGGTGGAAGAAATGGCCTTCTGTTGTGTAACTGTGACACAAATTATTCTTACTTTAGATGAAGAGTGACATTTAATGTTATTTCACTGAGATTTATCGCCTTATCCAGTGTTAACATATATTCTGTGTAAAATGTAGATTATTGTTCCATGTGCTGGTGTTCTCAGACAAGACTTTAACCAGTGTATAACCAGGTCTGGGGAGTCTAATGAAAAAGAATGAAAGACTATCTTAGCAACCACAGTTACTCCTTATTCCTCTTGCTTTTGTTATATTAAAAACTGCTTTATACCTTGGCGCAGTGCAAGAGGCTTTGCTAGGGATGGTCACCTTTTTGAAAGCACTGATCTTTCTAGCTGCTATTGGTCCCCCTTGGCCTGAATAAAAAGAACATTGGTCAATGAGTCCTTTCCTTTTTCTTCTAACTTAATATGTTATTTCATCCAGCTAACATAGAAATCTAGGAGGACACAGTGCTATCCTATGAAATCAGTTCACTTACTCTGTTATTTTTGATACTCAGTGATAGAACCCATATAAAGTGTCTCATTTACGCATGTATAATCTGGCCCACAGTCATACTCATTTAAGGGCTTTGTGTACACTAACATTTTTGATAACCTGAATGGGGACCACAGAAAGCATGGATCTCCTTTCTCTGACCTGGTACCAACCTACATTTTGGTACTTTAAGGAAATCACTTTACTTCAGGGATTTGGACTCCATGACTTAGGCCTTTTTCATTAGACAGTTCTGACTTCTCTATCTTGTTGAGTGAGTTTTTTGCACTGCCTTTTAAGTTCAAGGGCTATCATCAAGGCTTTGAAAACTGATAGGATTTTGTAGAACATCTTATAAGTAGGGAGTGCCTGGGGATTACTAACCTGACTTTTCTTACTTTTCTCATCTCTGAAATACAGTACTTGACACCTGCAAATTAAAGGATGAGAGGTTTTTGTTTTTTGGCTCACAGTCTGTAGAGGTTTCAGTTCATAGGCACCTGGCTCCAAGGCCAGGCAACATAGCAGAGGAGACACAGCTCATGGCATGGCAGTGGGAAGCAGAGAGAGATCAAGGGAGGAGGGAAGGAGATAGACCCTTCCAGGCCTCCAGCGACCTGCCCTCCTCCCACCAGGCTTCACCTCCCACATCACCTTTGGCTATCAACTCATCCATGGACTGATTCATTGATAAGTACCATGTCCCCATGATCCAATCACCTCCCAAAAGCCCCACTTATGAGTGCATGAAACTTTAAGGAGGACATCTAGGTATAAACCATAACATGAACAGAGCCTCTGAAGTTGTTCTGAGCCCAGGAGATCATAGAATCTCAGAGACGCAAACCTCTCCTCTACAGGGCTTCATGACCCAAAACACTGCGAAGCAGAATGAGCACTGTCTTAAGAACTTTGACCTCACTGAATACCGCCAGGTGCTGAGTGACCTTTCCATTCAGATCTACCAACAGCTCATTAAAATCGCCGAGGGTTTGCTGCAACCTATGATAGGTAAGCGGGCACAGACTTCTAGCACTTGTCCTGGGGCCTGGAAGGAGAGGTAGCTGTGGTAAGCTCTCCTGCCTCTGGGAGCTAAATAAATTAGCCATGGCCTCCACAAAGCTAGGCTTTCTCATTGAAGGCATAAGTCGGTATTCTCACCATACCTAAATAAACTGTGAAATTTTCAAAACCATCCCATAAAAAATACATTATGGAAGCATAGTAATATGATTTTTTCCTTTATCTCTTTTTCTATAGTACATTTTATTATTTTTCCCAAAGCAATTTCAGCAAGTAGTAAATTCTCAAAAAGTAAAAAATCCATATACAGTAAAAAAAGTGTAATCCTTTCATCCATTATGTGCTTAATTCTGAAGAAAAGAAAGCATGTGGTTCATGTGAGAGAACACAGCAGTAAGCACTCAGGCAATAACATTTACTGAACACACATACTTTGTACAAAGCAGGAAGTGCACTTGGGCACTCAACATGAAATCAGAATGGAAAATCAAGGCAGTTACGTTGTCAGTTAAAGGTAGCACATCTGCACATCACTCATTATGCCCTGTGAAGGCTGGGGAGCGGGGAGTTATTACACATAACTTCAACTTACGTGTAATGCCTTCTCCTCATTCTTACAGCACAAGTAGGTTATGGGTGAATTCTAAGTAGGGCCAATCCAGAAGGGTATCTCTTGGGAGGAGGTCATTCCAAATCCTGCCTCTCTGGCAGGCTCTTCTATTGGCATCAAGCTGGAGATACTTCAGAACTCACAATAATGTAATGGTTGGTAACACCAATTCTGGAGTCAGATCTAGCTTAAGATCCTGGCCCTGCCACTTCCTAGCACCATCACTATAGGCATATTACTTTATGCCTCAATTTGCTCATCAGTAAAATACATAGTACCTCACCAGATCACTGGATTATTAAAAGAAGTACTACACATAAAGTACCTGGCACACAGTTAAATGCTGCTCAGTAAGTAAACTGGACTTACTAAGCTAATATTGATGTAGTGGCAGGGCCATAGCTACATGCAAATTGCTCAGTTCTCAAATTACTCAGCAGACAGTACAGAATCAAATTCATACATATGCATTATCTTTGTCCCATCACCAATAAATTTAAGTGAAAATATGGACCAAAACTATTCCGTACAGAGTCCAACACATTAGAAATTTTTGGTCAAATGTAAATTCCTGAGGGTGTCAACATTGTACCTCTGCAATATATCATTGCTAAAGCCCCTGGTACTTTCTGATCTGAGTGGTCCAGTTGCAGAGCTTGCTTAAGGGGAACCATGCTTTTCTTTCAGTTTCCGCCATGCTGGAAAATGAAAGCATTCAGGGTCTGTCTGGTGTGAAGCCAACAGGCTACCGGAAGCGCTCCTCTAGTATGGTAGATGGGGATAACTCATACTGCCTGGAGGCCATCATCCACCAGATGAATTCCTTTCATACGGTGATGTGTGACCAGGGCCTGGATCCTGAGATCATCCTGCAGGTGTTCAAACAGCTCTTCTACATGATCAATGCAGTGACTCTCAACAACCTCCTCCTGCGGAAGGACGTCTGCTCTTGGAGCACGGGGATGCAGCTCAGGTGAGCAGTGCCTCACTCCAACACACAGAGTGGGCCCAACACTAGCTGGGATCAGAACACAAGGCATTTGTCTCCAGAAGTCAAGTCCGAGTCTAACTTTGTCCTTGTCACAGAATGTGACTCAAATCTCCATCTCCTTTTTATTGGTTGGTAAAATTCATCAAAGCTGAGATGATAACTTAGGAAACAAATCAAAGCTTAAAGAAGATTACATGTTCTAGAAATTAGATCAGTATGGCTAGGTCAGAGGGCAATCGATGAGTTAAGAGGCGTGAAGGCTCACACAGAAGTATAAATGGGTTTGTGACATTAAATGCAAGTTTTTTTAAGTAAGTATATGTAACGCCTCCCCCTAATTAATTTATATAGACATGTCAGGTATTTAATCTTTATTTAATTGTAAGCACCCATTCATTTTTTCATTCTTCATTCAACAAATAGTTAACCAAGTGCTAAGCACTTCTCAAGCTTCTAGCCATGTGAGATAATTAAAATGAAGAGAATGATGATAGGAGTTGCGATGGGCCTGAGAAACACAGCCAATAAATTACTTTTTACCTATGTTCTTGTGCCAATAAATTACTTTAACCTATGGCTAAGGTACAACATAAGCCAACTTGAAGAGTGGCTTCGAGGAAGAAACCTTCACCAGAGTGGAGCAGTTCAGACCATGGAACCTCTGATCCAGGCAGCCCAACTCCTGCAGTTGAAGAAGAAAACTCGTGAGGATGCAGAGGCCATCTGCTCTCTGTGTACCTCCCTCAGCACCCAGCAGGTATGGTTATGCTAGGCCTCTGGCAGCCATAGTACTTGAGGTAAGCCCCACTTCTGTTCCAATCTGCTCCTCCCAGTGGTTCTTCTTAGTGCTCTCTCCTGGCCTGTGTGTACCTTACTGACACACTTGTGAGGGTGCCATTGACGGGATGTTCCTGATGAACCCTGATGAGCCCTGCTCTGTGAGCTGTTTCCCATAATTCTCATATCCTTCTTGCTGTCTTGCAAAAGAAAGTAGCAAAGCCATAATACATCAAGCCTAAGAAAGAACTTTTTTTAAACAGTGAATTCTAGATTGTTTCTTACCTAGAAATTTTTTTAAAATTCTGAAATAGTCAGCATCAGGCATTTGCTTTTTTATAATTATTTGCTTTCTTTAGCATTATAATTTCAATATGGTCATATTTTCACTGATGATTCATATTGGTTTATAATAAATCATTGGAGATATTTAAGTGCCCCATTGTATTTATATTACTACTTGTTTGCAGATGTATTACCATTGTAAAAATATATATATAAATTCACAGGCAGGTAGACCTTGCCCTCTGTTATAAGTGCACCTATTTGGAAATGAGCCATGAAGACCAGTACGAGGAAATCAGATTTCCAAACTAAATGCATCTTCTCCCCAACCAGCACCTAGGAACAGCCAACTCCAAACTTAGTACAGTAGTTAGTTGCTACCTCCTCCAATAACTATTGAAAGATATATTATCAAACTCTTAATAAAACTGCTTCTGCCTGTAAATGTATTGAAAGTTTTCCAACTTCTCCCCACTTTTAAATATATATTTACTTTCATGAGTTTATTTCTGAAATGCAGCTGGCTTTGCACTGGGACAAGCTACTTCCATCCAACAATTGGTAGGCAGAAAAAAGACTACCTCCACTTCAAATACGAAAATTACATGTGTAAAAGAATTTTTAATGGGGAGAAGAGGGTGTAAGGGTAATTAGGTGTTGTTAAATAAGACCTTTCTCACCTAATATAAGATCCCCAGTTCTTTTTGGAAGAAACTCTTCAATTATTTATAGATAAGTGGTTGAGGATTTCAGGTAACAGTTTTCTATACTTCTCTTTATTTACAAGTCACCAAGCACAGGGGAAGGGACAGGCAGACACACAGGTAGTGAAGAAGCTTAAACCTACCAGGTACAATGTCAGTCTGCTTCATCTACTTTGTAGGTCCTGCCTATAGAGGATTGTACACTTTGTACCAATGTTATATAATCTCTTAAAGTTCAAAAGTTGACTGCTTCTCATTTAGCTCTATGCTAAACTTTGTTTTCATTCCAACAGATTGTCAAAATTTTAAACCTTTATACTCCCCTGAACGAATTTGAAGAACGAGTAACAGTGTCTTTTATACGAACAATCCAGGTGAGTTTTAAAATATAAATGAATTTTTATAAGAGTCCTAACCTAAAACTGCAAAGGAACTTGAAAATGTAGCTTTTAACCTTCTCTTTACTAATAAAATACTGGTTATATATGTGCTATAAAGCCTTATATTCCTAGGCCTTCTACTTAAATAAACATGACCCCTGTCACCCATGAATAACATATGACTGTAGACACACAGAGAGGTCTGAACTTTTATAACTCTGCCTCTCAAATTTTAGACATAGTCTGAGTATTTTATTGCCAGCATGTTACTGAACTAAGGCACCAAAAGGAATTTAAAAAGCAAAAGTATCAACCTTGCCTATAAATGAAATAAGAAATGTTCTTTAAGAAAACAATTTGAACTCTTAAATCTTGCCTTTAAGACTTGTAATTGTTGCCCTTAGGAATATGCTTAGAAGAAGACACATTAGGCTAATGAGTATTTAAGTCTGCCTTAAGATGAAAATTTTTACTTAAAGATAAGCTTAACCTGAGCCCCAGGTAATTTGGGCTGGGTACCTAGCCTTTGTGTGTCACAGTGGCTAACAGTATCGAGTGATAACTCAGAACATAGCATGTTACAGTTACACAATGGGAACGCTTTCCAGAGAGGTGGTAACCAGTGAAGTAAGACCAGCATGAAACAAGGATAAGAAGAGTCAAGAGAAAGGGAACAGAAGAGGAGCTGATCAAAGACACTGAAGAATCTGAAGGAAACACAGGCTTTCATATAAAAAGCTGTCCTTTGAAATACTTGGGACTTCATTCAGCATCCCTTACCATACTTCAGTGTAGAGATTCAGAGATTTAGAAAGGGTCCCTGAATGTGGAAAGAGCTTTAGTAAAGAATACATGACTTTAACCTTTGTGTCTAGATAGAGAACAGAAGGCAAAGTTGAAGGAATGGGCGCCAAGTCAGACTGAAGGTCGGTTATTCTCTTAAGGACAATGGGGAAATGCCAGGAGTTAAGATGCATCCCACTGGAAGAAGTGGGCAGAGAGTCACCACACAGGCATCTCATGGGGCACAGGAAGATGCTGACTGAAAGGACCCAGTTAAGAAACAAACAGAGGCAGCAGGTGAACAGGGAGGACAAGTGGGATAACAGAAGAACAGCCACTGATACGGGGCCCTGAGCACAGACTGATCTTTATGGAAGGTTGATAAATGACTGAAGCTTGCAAAAATGCAAGTTTAGAACGTCTTACTCTTTGTTGAATGTCTGAGACACGTCAAAGGGAGAACCATAACATTATAAACTGCTAACAGCATGGTTTTCAAGAGAATTCAGGTGAACAAGTATATACCAACTCAGACTGCAGGTTTAACAAAGTAAGGACAAAGGAAAAATGTCATGGAGAGTTAAGGGTGAAAATATGAACAGTCAGATCCTAAGTCTTCTTTAGATAGTAATCTCAGTGTCTGGCGATTTTTTTTTCCAGCTATAGTTTGTTCTGTTTTCCCCATACAGGGTTCAGAGGAAATAGAAAACAATCAATCCCACTCTCCTACACCTTAACACATGTGCCAAAAATTCTCTTGTTGAAGCAGACCAGTATGTGCAGTATATACTGACCTTTAAACATGTAGATTTGAATGTGTCGAAACATCACATGGAACAGTATTTCATAAATATGTACAATTTTTGTGTGCCAGCTAAAAATTGAAGTAATTTTTTTCAGTACTAAGGATTGAATCCAGGGCCTTCATACTAAGCTACATCCCTGGTTCTTTCTATTTTATATTTTGAGACAGACCCTCTCTAAGTTGCCCAGGTAAAATTCAAACTTGTGATCCTCCTGCTTCAGTGTCCTTCAGTGCTGAGATTATAGGTGTGCACCACTATATATGGCATCTCATCCTGCTATACTGTTGTCCAAAACTTTTACAATTTTTTCAAGCCCTTTAGATAGTAGAGCCTAGAGATATACCGAATATAAAGAAGTGAAAGGAGCTTAAGGACTCTCAGGATGATTTTTTTTCCAGTGTCTCCCACCACTTTACATTTTTGTGTACACTTCTACATGTTGTGTGAAACATTTCTGTAACAAACATAGCAAAGTTCAGAGTGGGCTGAGTGTGAGCAGTCACCAATCCCGGAGTGGTTCTGCTGTGAGGCCTCTCCATGGCTTGATTTAGTGAGGTGTGTTGGTTATTCCTCACTAAATATCCTTATGTCTTCTAAACTTTGCTCCTTGTTATTTCAAATTATTCTCTAAAACTACTAAAATTACTTTAAAATTTAGCCCATCTTTTAAGATCCTAAATATGAGTATTTTGTGATTAGTACCTGAGAATGTAAGGACAACTTTCCACTCATTACCTAGGTACCTTAAGAAAACCTGGACAGTTTGAGGTTCTGCTGTATTATAAAACCACCTCATAATCCTGCATTCAAACTGATTTCCTTCTGTAAGCCTGTTTCCCAGCACTTTTCAAATGCTACCATCTATTTACTGACCACAGCTCCTATTTCAAGCCTTAAGAAAAACAGAAATGGTCTGAGTGTAACAGCTGACTCCTACAGGAGGTGAGCAGATTAGTATGTCTTGGTTGTCTCATCTCTAAAATAGGGAAATGATGAAACCTCTAAAAAGTTATAGCCTATGACAGTTAATTTTGATTGTTAACTTGATTGAATTAAGAGTGGCCCAGAGAGGTGATTGGATTGTGAGAATGCTTTTAACCAATTGATAGTTTCATAGCTAAATGGGCTTTTTAGGAGGTGGACCTAGTTGGAAGAAGTAGGTCATTGTGGGTGTACCTTTGAAGGGTATGACTTCTTAGGCTGTCTCACCCTCCTCTGCTTCCTGTCTATGAGGTGAGTGGCTTTCTTCTGCCATGATGTTTCTGGTGACCTGAAACAACAGAGCTAGCCAGCCACTGACTGATACCTCTGAAACTGTGAGTCAAAGTAAATCTTTTCTGGTTTTGTCACAGTGACAGAAAGTTAACTAATCCAGAAAGCTGGTACCAGAAAAGTAGGGTTATCGGTGTGACTGTATGTGGCCATGAGGTTCAAAAGCCTTTGGGACTGGTCTGTAGGAGGTATTTGGAAAAGCTGGCTAGGAAAATGCTGGAATGCTATAAGCAGAGCTTAACAGCCAGTTCTTCTGGGGGCTCAGAAGACCAGAAGGGTGATAGGAATGTAGACACTAAAGACTGTGTTCATGGGGTATCAGGTGTACAGGAGAATTCTATTTGGAATTGGACTAGAGGGCACACATTATGCATTCCGGGAAAGAATAGGTCTACTTTTTGTTCATGCCTTAAAACCTTGGGTGAAGCTGAGTTTAAAAGTGACAAGCTAAGTGATCTGGGGGAGGAAATTTCAAAGCAGCATAACATTCAAGCAGTAGTATAAGTATTGCTGGCTATGTTTAGCCAGATTTACAGTGAGAATCAGAAGCAAAAAACAGGGAAAATATTTGAAAAGCTTCCATTTTGTCCTCTAAAACAGCATATTTAAAGTGGGAGGGTTGGTTATTGAGAAGACTAGAAGAAAGCTGGAAGACTAAAATAACCCAAGTACTTTGCACCAGGACAAGAAGATGCCTTGAGGGCTTCTCAGAAATCACCAAGACCCCACCCATCACAGGTTCAAGGATATAAAAGTATAAGCCTATTATTTGAGAAGAGAGCCCCTAGGCCCTTTGCTCAGGCAGGGAATGCCTAGGGAATGTTTTCTTCAGCTGTCCAGGTACTCAGAAACCACAGCAGCAGCAGCCAATGGGGCCTGGATACTGCTTGAGCTGGTGATGGACATCAGTGTCCTCCACATGATGCTGGTTTAGCAAGCACGCAGAATGAAGAGTTGTGGGGTCAGGGACTATTCCACTGAGATTTCAAAGGAGGGCTTGGGAAACCAGGCAGAGTTTCACAGGTTTAGAATCCCTGCAGGCAGCAATGTTTGATAGAGTTAGAATCCCTGCTGAGAAGGCAGTGCATGAAGCTGTGAAAGTGAAGCTGAAGCTGCATTGGAGAACCCAGAGAGTTGAAAGAGACAGGAATGTGGAATATCTGCTGAAGGAGGTTACAGGAATGAGCAAAGCCAGCCCAAGAGAGTGACAATGTGAGGTGCAACTATCAGGCCACAGCAGCAGGGCCACCCAAACTCTTTTAATGTTCACATCATGCTATCACAGACCCCAACTGACTAATAACTAAGCTTGAAAATGTTTTTATTGTTGGCAGCAAAGTAGTGTGTTGTCCCAAAGAGGAAACCATTTGTCTTATCTTATGCTAGTATCAAATGACCTGTATTTTCATGAAATCAAGGTATATCGATTTTATTCTTGGTAATACATGAACAGTTCAATGACTTTTGTAGAAGTCTAATTTCTACCTGCACAGTGCAGACATTAATGGTCAGTGCACAGGCAGAAAAAACAGACACATACCACAAGGTTAATAATAACAAGTGGAGCATCTATACCATATGTTAACAACTGTATTCAGTGTTTCACACATGCTAATTCTTTTGAGCCTTGCAGCCTTATGAGAAGGGAAACCTTTCTCCATGCTATTTGTATTTGTGTTGGCTCCTGTTACTGTAAGGAAAGGTTTATTTTGGTTCACACTTTCACATGATTTTAGTTCTGGTCACTTAGCCCTGTTGCTTTGGACCTGTGACTACACAGTACATTATGGCTTCACCTCATGGCAGTGAAGTGAGAGAGACAAGGAGTTCTGGTGTCCCCTTCAAAGGCCTGCCCCCAGTGGCCTAACTTCTTTTTGCTTTGCTCCAGTTCCTGCAAGTTCCACCGCCTCCCAATAGCAAGCATTAAAGGTAAAAGCCATACCTTTAACACAGGGGCCTTTCGGAGACATTTCAGATCCAAATTATAGCAGTGTTTTACCATGCTAGCCATTTCTACATGTACAATTCAGTGACACTGTGTATCAGCAATATTGTATAACTATCTCCACTATTGTTTTTCTTCATCCTGAACAGAAACTCTCTCCATTTGAACAGTAACTTCCTATTTCTCCTTCCCCAGCACCTGATCACCTCTTTTCTACTCTGTCTCTGAATTTACCCATTCTAGGTGTTTCACGTAAATATAATTATATATTTATCACTTGGTGTCTGGCTTATTTTGTGTATGATATTTTCCAGAGTCTTTGCCTGGCTTTAGCTTTCTAGCTTCAGAATGATTTAGGAAATATTCTCTCTTATTCAGTATTTTGGGAAGAATTTGAGAAGAAGTACAGCTATTTTAAATGTTTAGGAGAATTTGCTACTGAAGATATCTGATCTTATGCTTTTTGTTGTTGTTGGGAGATAGTAAATTACTCAGTCTCCTTACTTGTAGATGTAGTCAGGTTTTCTGTTTCTTCTTGAGTCAGTTTCGATTGTTCGTTACTAGGATTTTGTCCATTTCAGCCAGGTTATCCAATTTGTTGGTGTAAAATTCTTAGAATTCTCTTTAATTCTTTTTAATTTCGGTAAAATTGATAGTGATGGCCTCACTTTCATTTCTAACTTCAGTAATTTAATTTCTGAATTCAGCCTTTTTTATTTCCTGCTTTCTGCTTGCTTGGGGTTTTGTTTGCTTTTCTTTTTTTAGTTCCGTAAGGTAGTCAGATAGGTTATTGATTTGAAATCTTTTTTAATGTAGGCATGTAAAAGTTATAAATTTATCTCAGTGTCACTTTCACCACATCCCATGAGTGTTTACTTTAACTTTGACTTGTATAACTTCTCTTGCCCTGTTCTGATTTCTTTGACCCATTAGCTATTTAGGAACATATTAATTTCAACATCAGTATTGATTTTCCAGTTTTCCTTTATTCTTTTCTAGTCTCATTTCATATCAGTCAGAAAAGAATGTTTTGTAGGATTTCAATCTTAAGTTTACTAAGGCTATTTTGTGTAATCTATGGTCTGTCCTGGAAAATGTTCCATGGATGCTAAAAATGTGTGTTCTGCTCTGGAGTGGATGGTTCTGTAAATGTCTGTTAGGCCTAACTGATTTATAGTATTGTTCATGGCCTGTTTGTTTGAACTTTCTGTCTTGTTAATTTACCTGTTAGTCGCTTTTTTCATTTTTGAGACAAAACATCCAACACCCAAAGTTAAAGGAGGAAAGATTTATTTCAGCTTACAGTTTATAGACATTTCAGTCCCAAGCTGTCTGCATCCAAGTCAGGGTGGCATGGCAGAGGAGCACTGCAGAGGAAAGACAGTCCATGGCATTGTAGAGCAGGCAGAAGGCAGCAAAGCAGCGAGCAGCAGGCAGCAGTCTGCCTCTCCCTTTTATCCCTTCAGTCTATCAACTCTTTGGGTGTTGCCACCCACACCCAGGGTAGGCCTTCCAACTACCCACACCCAAAACTATGCCAGCTCAATCAGTGGACTAGTTTACTAGTCACACACCGGAAATTCCAGCATCACACCCACTAGATCCAGCTATCTCTGGAAAAGCCCTATCTCTGACCATATGAGGCTTTAAGGGGACATCTAGACACAAACCATAGCACTACCCATTATTCAAAGTGGGAAATTGAAGTATCCAGCCATTATTGGAGAACTGTTTCTCCCTCCCACTGTGTTGATTTTACTTTATATATTTTGGAGCTCTGTTGCTAGGTGCATGTATGTTTCTTGTTCTTGATGGAGTGAATCTTTAGTCAAAATGTAATGTCCTTTGTCTCTAGGAAATGATTTAATTTTATCTCTTTTTTTCCGTACTGGGGATTGAGGCCAGGGGCTTTACACTGAGCTACATTCCCAGGCCTTTTTGATTTTTTATTTTGAGACAAGTTCTAAGTCATTATTAAATTGCCTATGCCAGGTTCAAACTTGCAATTCTCCTGCCTCCGTCTCCCAGAGTGCTGGGATTATAGGCATGCACTACCCTGCCTAGCTTCATCTTCATTCTTGAAGATGCACAATTAACTAGATACACAATTCCCAGCTGACAATAATTTTCCTTTCAGTATTTTATGCCATACCGTGGCTTCCTAGACTCCATGCTTCTAATGAAGAACCAGTTGTTTAATCTTTTTGAAGGATCTCTTGTGACAAGTCACTTCTCTCTTATTGCTATGAAAATTCCTCATTATTGGTTATTGACAGTTTGACTATAATGTGTCTTATTGTGAATTTCTTTGAGTTCATCCTGCTTGGAATTAATTGAGCTTCTTGGATGTACAGAGACATGTATTTCATCAGATTTAAAACATGTTTGGGCATTATTTAAATCAGTCTTTCTCTGTGTCTCTGTATCTGTCTCTCTTTCTCAACTCCTGTGATCCTGTGACATATATGTTGCTATATTACTACTTGGTTCCTCAGACATTGTTCATTTTCACTCTTCTGTTTTCTTTCTTCCTCTCAGGCTGGATCACCTCATTTGCCTTATCTTCAATTTCACCAGTCCTTTTTTCTGCCTACCTGATCCTTTCAGGTCTCCTAATGAACTCCTTTAGTGAATGTTTTATTTTGGTTGTTGTATATTCCTAAAATATCTAGCTTCAAATAGGGGGAAAGGGAGAGAGGATCTATCTATTCTCTTAAGTATTCCAGGTGACATTATTGGGACTAGCCATTGCATCCCAAGATCTATGCTAGGGCCCAGCAGATGAACCAAAATGCACAATCCAAAATTTTTGGAAAGCAAGGTCCTTTTGCCTTCCTTGGTACCAGCCAGCTGCTCCAGGAACTGCAGTTATATCCCCATAGCTTCCTGGGGCTGACCGGGGGACAACAGTAGCTGGTTCACATACAGTGCTTTCTCAGCAAAGGTCAGCCTCTCCCTTCATCAAGCAGTCTCCTGGTTGTAATAAGTCTCTAAGCAAATTACAGAATTCTGAGATGTAAAGAGCCCTTCCTGGTCCTCATTGTGGCCCAGGAAGTTTGTATTTGTAATCCCATGGAAGTTATTGGAATTCTAGCAAGTTAATTCCACTCTACCACTTCCAGTGCAACCCATGGTGAGAATAAAGACACTAAGGCATATTTGTAGTTATGGGGAGCCAAGGGGCCCTAAGTCCAGCCACAGTGATGGCCATCTGGAACAAAGGCTTTGACCCAAGTCCAAACCCAGGTTTTACTCATTCATTCATGAAGAAGGGAGTGGCTTGAGGATGAGTGTCTGTGAGAACCGTGGGAAGTAGGTGAGTACCATGAGCTGGGCTAGGTAGGAGGCCTGAAATCACCTCTGCAAATGCAGAGAGAAGGACATGCAGAAAGAGTAATGTGCATGACATAACTGAGATAATATCTAATGTTTGGGGGTTGGTACTTCAGCTCTGATGTATAATCTTTGAAACCCCAGGAAGTCATGGCCTCTATCCCAATGCATGGAGCATTGGCTCACACATCCCGCCTCATCCTGGCTCACTCAAGGGAGCAATGGAGTTCTGGGGTGTAACCTGCCTGCCATCTGCAAATATTACCATCAGCACCTTGGCTAGACCCATATGCATTGCTTAAAGCCAGATGAAGGGATAAGGAAAAGTCCCAGCCAGTTCTGTATTTATCAAAATGTGGAAATAGGGTCAGGCTCAGCCAAAATGGAGGCAATTGCTCCTTTTTCAAGGAAAGTGGCCCAGGTGGTCCTCCACACTGAGACATTTGATAACAATACTCTTTCCAACTTAATAGTTGCTTCAGTGGAAGGACTGCCCATAGACTTCCTAATCTGCCATTTATGAAATTTTACTCTTTCCCATTTCATTCTGCAGATGAGGAAACCAGGTTCAGAATTTGCCAAGGGTGAGGCATGATGAGAGCTCAGGCTGTGTGCCTCTAGAGCCTATGACCTTAACCACTTCACTACTGTGCCTCACCACATGGCCTGCACCTGTCCTTTTTTACCTTCTCCCTTATATAGAACAAAATTTTAAATAGTGCTAGAATTGGAAAGCATGTTTAATCATCTGATCTCTAAGCCTAAACGAGGGCTTCTCTCACCACTAAATACCTCAGGGATAGGGTCCCCATGTTTTCCTGGTCTTGAAAGTCCCTCTTGATTATCTTAGAGATCTTCCTATCCTGTATGCCAACTTGCTTTTATGCACTAAATATTCATCTGTTATTATTCTTCCCTACAGGCACAACTACAAGACCGGAATGACCCTCAGCAACTGCTGTTAGACTTCAAACACATGTTTCCAGTTTTGTTTCCATTTAATCCATCTTCTCTGACTATGGACTCAATCCACATTCCAGCATGTCTCAACCTAGAATTCCTCAATGAAGTCTGAAGATGCATCTTTCCAGCATCAGCTCAGTTTCCATTGAGCACAGCAAGAAAACATATGCAGTTGTGTGAATCTTAGGACCTGTTAAATCTGGTAAAAGTGGATCAAATCAGAGATGGAGAGAGTGCTGAATTAAGAATAAAACACATCTGTCATTAATTTTTGTATCTACTCTCAGAATAAAAACACTTGAAATATGGAAGATTTTTTAAGGTTTGATTTCAGTCTAAACAAATACACATCATAACCTACAGCCACCATAATGTCTGTGGCCACATAAAAGGTGCCAGTTCTATAAAATGGAAGCTGCCTAGTTTTGATCTTTGCATATAACTGGAAAATGTCCAAATTAAAATAGTATCAAAGTAATGTGATATCAATTGCCCTGATAGGACTTTTAACAAATAATGGTACAAATAGCCATGATAATGGTAGATACTGACAGTTTCCTCAGATTGACAAATGATAAGCATAAATGTGCTTCTGAAAATGTTTTAAGAACAAAATCTAGATTGAAGCCTTCTGAGCTTTTCAAAGGTATATGTTAATGACTGGTGAATCAGACATAATGGTATAGTTGACCTCCAGACCAAACATTGTCAAAATTGATTTCTGAAGCAAAATTCAGAGACACAGTCCATAATTGCACAATTCTTTTGTGTAGTCTTAGATTTATGGAAGATTGAAGCTAAAAATGTTATCCCAGATGTCAGGTGGTAGTAGTTTCAGGTGGCAGTCCATTCACTTACCAAGTCCAGCAAAACTTTGCAAAACAAAAAAAAGTATATATACTAAATATGAAAAGATAATAACTTGTTTTATTTAAAGATGTAAGACTAAACAAGTCAGAGTGAAGCTGTTCATCTCTTAAAGCACTACCCCCCCCATAAGAAAGAGCATTATGTAATGTACTACTAATTCCAGACACCCAAGATACATAAGGAGCTAAACAGACTTTGGTTTTTTGACTCTATTTGCTTTAAAAAAAAGCCTTTAAAAAATAATTTTAACATGGTCATTAATTTATTCTAAGATCTGTGGGTTTCGTTTTGTTGGAGGGTTTTTGTTTTGTTTGGGGCTTTTTTTTTTGTTTTGAGAGACTAAAATGGCTTAGGCCAATTTCCCCTTCTAATGTATCTTTACTGTAAAATATTTTTAAAAGATGATTCAGTAATAATATAATAGACCTAGATGTTTACTGGCTGCTTTTAGATTTTTTAAGGGTTTTTTTGACTGTTGAAAAGCAATCATTCGATAGAAAGTCCTACATATTTTTCCATCCGTTTTTTAATATCTTCCCCATATTTAATAACATAGTGTTCCTATGACAGGAACAGATGGTTCGCAAATCAGTCAAGAACAGCCTGCATATTACATCAAGAAGATAAGAGTGCTGCATACGTCAGAAGTAGAATAACCCTACCACCACCACCAGTGCCGCCTTGTACTCAGCCGCCCAACCTAGAAAGCTCCTGGAGACATGGGCCTGACCAGTAATGTCTTGTGCCTGTGCAGCTCAGTGCCCTTGGTCATTCTCTCACCTGCTAGAGCCAGAACAAGGCCCAGGTCCTGCTAACAGTCATGTCCAAATAAACTGTCATCAGATCATCTCTGTGTCCACATTAAAGATCCTGGCTTCTCTTGGGTGTCCCACAGCACCGCCTTCCCTTCCGTCTCAGTTACAGTTACACAGTTACTGATATCCATGACACACACCTTTCATCTCACAAGCTGACTTTGGAAAGCCAGTTGAAAGCAACTGAGTTTGTGGCTACCTCTTCCCATTAAAGTTGTTCATGAGGTGTAATTTGCTCTTTGATGCACTTTAGTTTGAAACTGATTCTCACACGCAAAGACTGTCCTTACCTTTCAGGATAACCAAAAATGCCTTGTTATTGGAGGGATAAGCAGTTTTGACAAGCAGCAACTCCACAAATACAATGGCTTACAGTCCTTTCATCCTGTCTTAGATCATCATTCCCCCTATCCCTTCTCCATCTCTTTGCTGCTCTGCTGTCATGGTTCGTCACTAGATGCCAAAGGCGATTAGAGTAAATGGTGCTGGGGGGTGGGGGTTACTCTTCTACTTAGCCTAAGAAACGGCAGATTTAGGTTTCTTCAAGGCCTTTCACTGGAAATGTATTTAATTGATAGATGAGCAACAATAAAGAAGTATAGTAATGGATTACATATTGCTTCGGTCTGCCCTATTTAACATGGAGGCTGAAAAAAGTATTTTTAAAGAACTTTAATAATCTTTTGCTCACATTTTTGTTCTTTGTCATTTTAAAGTCAGTTCAACCCAGACACTTTTTAGTTTTATGAAATCTGTAGTGACTTAATTTAAATAACATGAAGGTTTGAACTCTGCACTAGATGTTAATATTTAAAAATCTAGTTTGACACTTTTCTCACTATGTGCCTTTAGCAGTTACTGAGATAACTGATTTATCAATTGTTTGTCTGAAATAAGTTGCTGTCAGCAGAATTTCAATGCTCGCTGTAATATGGTAGACTTTTGATTTTTAACAGGCGTTTTAAAGATTATTTAAGAATCAAATATTTATAGATCAATTTGTCTTAAGTATTATATGGGACCTGTTTACCTGTAGTACACGGGAATCAGTTGTCACTGAAGCTGATAAGCATGGATTTTCCTGTGCCATGGGAGAGGCAGTTAGAGTGGTGGCACTGTGGCGTACCTGGGAAGACAATAAAACTCAAAGGTAAACTCTTCCTCCCTGCCCCCATCCATGGAGCATGTCAAGAAGAGTTGCCTTCCTTGATTTTTTCCCAATATAAATTTTAAGACTTTTATAAAAAAAAAAAAAAAACTAGCTTAGAAAATTTAGGAAAATGTTCTATCATTAATTCATCAAATATTTACTGAGAGTCTTAATAAATACATAAATACCAAATAAAATCCATTTCCTTTGCATAAATTAAATTTTCAAACACCTGACCTAATTCTAAGGCAGCAAGAGCATCCTAAGTTGAAGCGCTTAGGTAATGGCTACATGATTAAATAGTTACTAAAAGGTGACAGCATGGGGCAGGACCCTTTCATTCCTCCTCACAGAATATTTGCAGTCAGTTTCTAAAATTTGCTGCATGAGCCAAATAACCATAATTTAACTTTTGTATACATTGGTGCCATAATTAGAGGATTTAGGAAGCATATAAAGTTAGAACTAAATGCCACTAGCAAACATAGGATGGGGTTTTTCTTTTTAAAAAAGGCATTCGATACTAAAGATGATTTTTCCTAAAGAAAAATTTCTAGTTCTAATAAAACCAATCAGATGAAATTAAGTCACTTACTAAGGAGACATAACAACAGAATAATCCAGATTTGTGTAGAATATTCCACCATCAACTGATGTTTAGATGAAGGGACTGCCTCTCAAAGGAGTTCACAACATATTCAGGGGTAAATTTACCATTATAGAATAAATACTGCTGATACAAATATTTTTCCATTTTGGACAAATCTGTAAACTACATACACTTTTGTTTATAGAAAAATACTTGTACTAGTCACTATAATATTCATCTGTGAATAAATATTTGTGGAAATAAATACTTTTGAATAAAGTGGTGTGCCAAATCTAAGAATTTAAAACTGTAGCTACACATTGACTACAAAGTATTTTTTATTTTAATCCATGTTTGCAGTACAATAATGATTATACTCATTGTGGAGATGCTTTGAGAGACTTCATTCTGGGGCCTATATGCAAAGATGCAACACGATTGTTTAAAACTAGGACAATGTTCAGGAGCTGGTTTCACACGAGCTACGCCTGGGTGGTATCAGAAACTGGCCTAGTGCTCCCAGCACATGATGGTCTGAAATTTGGGGCTGGGGTAGAACTTGCCCTCTAACAAGATTTATTGAGCAATTACTTTGAAGCAACAAAATTTAGGGCCGTTTGAGTATAGGAAAAGACTAGCAGGTCAACTAAACACTACATACAGTCCAGAAGCAGATATATAACATAGGATATGGTGAAGATGGCATTAAAGCTTAGTGGGGAAATGTTCACAAGAGCTGTGAGCTGTGTGCCAGAAAAATTGACAAATAAAAAATGGAGGGCTGGGGATATAGCTCAGTGCCTGGCAAGTGCAAGGTCCTGAGTTTGATTCCCAGTACCAAAAAAATTATTTTTTAAAAAATTGAGAAATAAACCATGAAACAACACAGATGCATTTCTCAGACCATTGACTGCATATAGAGATGTCTCATCAAAGATTCCCCTACTTTCTGAAAGCACCCAAGTGAGGGTGAACCCCTGCTTCTTTGGACCCTCTCCAAACCACCTAAAGGCCACATCCTAACACCTTCTTACCGAGACGCTCCAGTCCCCCAAAATTATGCCTGCATTGTGCAGTTTCCTGTGAAGAGTAAATATTTGTTGCAAGGACAATGAGCAACCCAATTTGTTCAACTATAGGTATGTTTACAGAGATGTTTGGCTGAAGATGATACAGTGGTGTCATCTTCCACTAGCAGTATTTTACAGAGTAAACTTGGACTCAAGGAATATTGGGTTTTAGCTTAAAGTTATATGATTAAATGAAGTCCCAAGGCTCTTTAAGGGTAGATACTGCAAATAACTTTCAAACAAGTACAGAAATAAATAGCTTTTAGTTCAGCTCAGTTCAGTATGTTAAGTCTACTGGAACTCACCAAGAGAGGGTAAAATTTAAAACAAAGGAATTCAGCAAATAGGTGTCTATATTACTTTTTGACTACTTTTTCTTTCCTTCACCTTGTTTGGCAACTTGAACTTTCTAAAAACTAAAAACCTAAAACATTTGTTGCAAGGACAAAGCCCCACACAAGCTAATAATTGCTTTTCAATGAACGAAAACTGAAATTCTCACCAAAGCCATCAGAGTAACAGTGAGCACATACACTACTTTCGTTACTTTTTCAGATTCATATGCTCATTTTTTAAAAAAAATTGTCCCAGTCCCTACAGACTTCACCAGCTTTCCATACTTTCTCTTATTGAGACTTCTAAAGCCACTGTTGCTTAAACTGCCATCAGTTATGAGCGTTATAGGAAGGCCGGGAAAACTGTTTAAGAATAGAAAAATTACCCAGAAAATGTGAGAGATAGGACTGAGGTCAGATAGTGCTGAAATTCTGATAAAATGTTAACACTAGGATTTACATATTTATAGGATTTGACAATAGATTTGCTAATTTCCAATCTTATGCTAACACTCCCTCCCTCCAAAAAAAGTACAGAAAGAAATAATACTGCATTTCTAAAAACAGTGAAAGCTAAATGTCTTAGAACAATTAACTTTATATCTCATGAGAGTTTCCATATCTAGGGCAAAAACTTGTAATTAATTTTGACAGCATACTGAACATTGTACAATGTACACCTACCTAAATAGCTGCACAAAAATGGAAATGACTACTTTAGAGAATAATGTTTCAAACAGTGTGTAGCTTTCTTAAAGGGCATTTTTCTTCCTAGCTTTTATTCTGAAGAAGTTAAAACCTACAGACAAGTGGTAAAAAATAAAACAATAGTCATATATTCTTCATTCAGATTCCCCAATTTGTAATATTTCACATTTGCTTTTTTTTTTTTTCTCTGTCCATTTATTTGTTTTTCTGAGGCATTTAAGAGTTAGGTGCAGACATCATAACTCTTCACCCCTAGGTATGTCAGCATGTATCTCCTAAGAACAAAGGCCAGTCTCCTACATAACTACAGTATAATTATCATAATCGGGAGAATTAATGTATTACTAACCCGTATACAAATTATGTTTACATTTCCCTAAGTGTCTCAATATTGTCCTTGAGGTTTTTCTGAATTCAAGTGTCAATGAATAGATGCCACATTAAATGTAATTGCTACATCTCACCATTCCCAGCCTTTTTTGGTTTGCACATTATTTTCAAAGCGCTTGTGTCAGTCATTTTGCAGAATGTCCCTCAATTTGAGTTTATCTTATGATTAGATTCAGGTCAGACATTTTTGAGAGAAGTTTTACATCACTGAGATTTGTCCTTAGTGCGGGGTTGCCCATGAGTTTGTCCTATTATTGGTGACATTCAGCTTGATCATTTACTTAATACCCACAAGATTTATCCACTGTAAGTTACCCTTACAGTGATACCAAGACTGCGTAAATATCCTCACATGTATTTACATGATTTAACATGTTAACTTTTCACTCAATGCATTTAGGACCCACACATTCACAGATGGTGATTTGTAGAGTAAATGAGAAATTATGATACCTTTTCTTAAATATGTGGTGGGCAAAGAGCAAATTGAATAGATAAATGTGTAGAAGAGTGTATCTATATATTATATATGTAGCTTGTTTTTACTTTTTCATAAAATAAAAAAACGGCAAAAAGTTTAAAATATATGTATTTGTGAAGCTCACCTAACTTCAGATTTGTACGTCTGGCCGCATGAAAATTTTGTCTTTAAAAGAACTGTAAATAAATACTCAACTCTAACGTGAGCTGAAGTATGTGTGTGATTAAGCACAGTATCATCTTATTTTTAAAAATACAGATTTGATCGAAGAACGGAGGGACTGATGTGAAACAGCAGGCATACGGGTGTTTACTGAACAACCCCTTCCTTTCTTCTACATACGTATTTGAAAGTTTTAACCATAGTAATTTTTTTTTAAGCAAACGTTACAAGAGTGCCACTGGAAGGTTTGAAGAGCTGACCACGGCCACCCACGACCTGTTCTCACGCAGTCCACCAGCCCCGGGCAGCCCGGCCGCCTGGAAGCCCTGGCCCGAAGGCGCGCTCCGCTCACCCCTGCCCAGGCCGCCTCCGGCTCGCCCGGCCTCAGTCTGTTGCTACAACACACTCCATCACCTGGTTCCCAGACTCAGATTGCGCAGTGGTCTAGTCATCATCGGCCAGGGCTCACCGCTACGCGGCAGGGGCCTCCCTCAACCTCCTCCTAGCCTCGCCTCCCCGGCTTGTCCCTCACCCCTATTCTCCCGCGCCAGGTCCCCCTCGCTCCACTTCGCCCGACACGTTTCATAATCCTCTCAGGCTCCAGGCAAGCAGCGCCGCCCACAGTGGTGCCTGATCATATAAGGAAAATACTGAGGGCTCACTGGGAGCCGTAAGGGGGAACCTGGAAAACCCTGTCCTACAACCCTTGCCACTTTCTTACCGCCCAAGCCGCCCCGGCTACCCAAAAACCGGCCCCTGCAAGGCGGAACTACCTAGACCCAGGCCCAACAGTTTGCGCAGCCGCGAGATTTCGCAGCCAATCCCGCCTTCCCCCTCCCGCCCCGCCCACTGCACTTCCGGTCCCCCAACCCGCCTTCGCCAGCCCCGCCTCTCTTGATTACCCCCCCAGGCGTTTGGCGTCCTATCCCACTAGTAGTGGATTATGCAGTATCCTAGGGCCGAGGATGGGGAGGGAGGGAAGAGGGGGTTGTACAAGACAAGGCTAGGATGTAATCGGGTGTTGTCTCAGGAATTCTCTAGATGTGGAAATAGCTGGAAAGTCTGAAAAACTACGATGCCCGTGTCCCCCCCGCCCCCCGGCGCGCCTGCGCCCCAGAGATGGTGGCGCTCCTGGTTCTCACGGACTGCGAAAAGGGCGCTGGCCCCCAGAGCGGGCCCGGGGCGGGGCGGGGCCGGGGGAAGAGCCTGCGGGAAGTGGGTGAAGGGGCAGGGGCGTGGCATCGCGGGGCACCAACACCCCCGATTTTAGGGCCTGGCTGAGCTAGTAGGCCCGTGAACCTCGGCTTTGCGAAAACGCGTGGTCTTCTCTACCTGTCCAAGTTGCCACCATGGCCCTGCTCCGAGGTGAGCGCGGCCCCCTCCTCGCCCCTCCGGTCGATCCCACCCCAAGCCAGCCGTCTTCTTTCGGGCTCAGTGGACAGTCAGGGGTCTTGGGAGAAGTTCAGTATCTTCGGCCCTGGGGGAGACTTGAGATTTTTTTTTGCAATAAGGAGCACGCTTGTACGATTCCAGCGACAACGATTTCTGTGTAATTTTCTGTGGACTGAGTGGGTAGAGACCAAGGTTAGCTAGTTCTGACCTTGGAGGTCGCTCCTTAGGGTAATAGTGACCCAAGGGTTCGAGCTCAACTAGCAGGGCGTCCCCAACGCACGAGAAGCCTGGGGCACAGTAGGTGTTCCTGGGAGCCCGGCGCTCTGCGGGTGGGGGCGCCGCTGGGGTGGGGTTGAGGGGGGCTGTGCTGGGGCTTCTGCCCGAAAGGCCTGTTTGAATACCACCTGCCTTCCTCCCTCTTGTCTTACTTTCATTTGAGAGACTAAAGGCAGTGCAGGAACTGCTAGAATTATTGACTTGTTTTTAAAAATTATATAATCTTCGTTTTCATGACAAGTGATCAGAGTCAATGGAAGAATATTCAGCTAGGATACATATCAAGGCCCTGAAACTGAGAAAGACTTTTTCACAGGATAGAAGAACCAAATGTTTTGATTGTCTGAAGACCAGTGGGCTCTGTGAAGAAGGTGGACTTTTGTTGTAAATCCAGTGGGAGGCAAAACAAGGATTTACAGTAGGGGAATGACACCATCTGGTTTCTGCTGTCGGATTTCCTGCAGAGTCTAGGACAATAAAAAGACCGTTGAAGGATCTATTGCTGGGGTCCAAGGCAACAGCAAAGGATGGTGTTGACTGCGTGGGGTTGATGGAGTGGGTGAAAGCGGGAGGGGAAGGATGAGTTGACAGATTTGGAGGTGCAGTTGGTAGGACAGGGTAATGAATTGGGTGTAGTGGGTAAAAGAGAGGGAAATAGAAAGAATGAATAAAAGTTTCTGACTAGTTCTTGATGCTACCACTTAAGGGGTGAGGAAAACGAGCGGAAGGTAAGTTGGAAAAGGAGATTCAGAATTCAATTGTAGGCCAAGATTTTGATGCCTGTGAAGCACTGAAGTGGAGGGTATCAGGTAAGGCATTGGTTAGGGGGATTTGGAAGTCAGAAGAGCCAAAATGGCATGTGGATAAATCAAATGCTAAGCAAGTATTCTGCCACAAAATACAGTGTGTCCAGTTTCCCACAATGTAGATTTCACTTACCAGTGCCCCTCTCAATTCAGAACATTTACTTAATAAAAGAACATGTTGTTTTTTTAGTGTGTTCAGGAAATCCAGTATTTTTAGAAGTTGCCTTTGTAATGAACTGTCCTTTAAAAAGGAAAATAATACTCTTACTAATTTCTCACGTTACTATTTTACCAATAGTTATTAGCTTTTTCCAGACTCCTTTGAACATTTTGTGAAAACAGTGGCCCAGTAAGAGGAAAAAATATATGCGAGCACCTGTATTAAAAGAAATAGGAAGTTTATAAATTTGTGATATAGTCTAATAATGTTTGAGGCGGTGGTCATATTTTTCCCCCATTTCCCTACTTTACAGTTAAGGACACTAATGTCCAGAAAGGTAAAGTGGATCGCCTGCAATAACATAGGTAGGTAGTGGCTACGACTAGAACTCAAGCTTTTGAGCTTCAAAAAGTGATTGTTATAGACTAGTTAGAGTGCACTAAGGATAAGGCAGTTTTCTCACAAGTTGCATATGAAGTGCTTACCAGGAAGAAAGCAAGACACCGGACTGATTACTGTTAAGGAAAATAACACATTTGAATGGGATCATATTTAACATTGAGAATTGTCATTAGCTGATCAGATTTCAGTCAAGAGCCAATACCCCAGATTTTTCTTAGCACCAATCCCACTGCTTGGTGGGAGATTCTCACCCAACAAATACACTATTAGGTCTACTACTCCTTAGATTTATTGGGAAAGTTTCTGCAACCTCCCAAAGCAAGCAGTGGAGGCTGCTAAATTACTGTACTCCTGAAACAGAAAAGGATACCCTAACAGTTTTCCTTAATGTGTCTTTGTTGTTTGCTACAGTTGCTCTCCAGAAATGAGTAAATGTTTAACTTGGCAATGCTGTTAGGAATGCTGGCAGTGTTGTGAGAAATGAAAGCAAAGTTCATGTTTTTCTCCTATTACTGTTTTTTCCTCTGTTGTCAAATCAGCACACCTTGCCAGGCCTCTTCCTAGAGTTTGTGTGACTTTCTGAGGTAATGTTTCTTCACTGCCATAAATTTTTGGAAATCTTTAGAATCTAAATTTTCAGAATCTTTTAAAGTTTTAGTAAACAAGATTTTAAGCAAGATTTTACTTTGGTGTTAACGAGTGTTGACAATTTAGACCTTATTGCCATATAAAGTCGATATCAGATCAAATAAATATTGGCATGGGAATGAAATAAATGGCTTTATGAAATAAGAAAAAACTTGAAATTGTCTTATCTTTGTAGCTGCATATCCTAAATTATTTTTTTAAATATACTTTATGGGGCTGGGAATATGGCTCAGTAGCATGGCGCCTGCCTGCAAGCACGAGGTCCTAAATTCAATTCCCAGTTTAAAAAAAATTAAAATTAAATATATATATATATACACTTTATAGCATTTTTTTCCATTCAGAATGATTTCATTCAATTAATGCTGAGCATCAAGGTAAAAAGCAATGACATAAATAAAGTTCTTATTTTTGTTTTTTTCTGGTATGTATTCTTTTGTAGATAGTTCATCATAAGCATCACTAACTCAGCCTCTCACAAATATTTTTTTATTATAAAATATGAGGGAGAAACTAATGAGCTTTACGGAGAAACATAAAATTATGAAGTACAATGGAAATATACAATGAGTGTTTAAATTTTTAAAACATTTATTACAGTAAAAGATATATTGACATTAATTCCCCTGCAGGATATTCCACCTTACTTCAAACACACTGAAAAAAAATGACATATTACATACATGGAGATGATTCAGATATTCAAATGAACATACAATATGTCATTTTTTCAGGATGCATTTAAGATTTTTATCATCTTTGGATTTTACAAGTTTCACAATGATGTGCCAAGGTATAAGAGCATGTGTAGTGTTTATTCTATTTGCATTCACTATGCATGGATCTATAAATTTTTACCTTATCAAATTTGTAGAATTTTCATTTATTATTTCTTCAAATTATTTTTTTTCCTACTCTCCTATGATAGCATAAGTGCTCCACCCATATTTTTTCCCCAACTTTTTCTCTTTTTTTTTTTTTCAGACATACTAGAGATAGAACCAAGGAGCACAGACTTTTATCCACTGAGCAGCATCCAAGCTTTTTTTTTTTTTTTTCTGATACCATCTTGCTAATTTTTTCTGGTGAAAATAGAACTTGTGATTCTCCTGCTTCAGCCTCCCTCAGTGCTGGGATTATGGGTGTGTGCCACCATTACTGGCTTCCCTTTTTAATTAATAAACTGTTTGGGGGCCAATTTTAGGTTTATAGAAAAATTGAGCATAAAGCACAAGGCATTATCTTACGTACCCTCACACCACCCTCACTTCCCATATTATAAATATCTAGCACTCATATGGTAGGTTTGTTACAGTTGATGAGCTGATATTAATATATTAACTGGTCATAGTTTACATCAGGATTCACTCTGTGTTGTATAGTTGTATGAATTTTGATAAATATATAAATAACATGTATCAACATTACAGCATCTTGAAAAGTAATTACATTGCCCTAGAAGTCACCTGTGCTTCCCCAATTGACTCCTGCCTCTGAACCTGTGGCAAGCACTCATCTTTTTATTGTCTCTATAACTGTACCTTTTCCAGATATATAGTAAGAATCATACAATATATAGCTTTTCAGATTGACATCCTTCATTTAAGAGTATGCATTTAAGATTACTTTTTTATGACTTGATAACTTATTTCTTTTTATCACTGAATAGTATTCCATTCACTGCTGGTATGTACCCCAGTTTGTTTATCCATTCACCTATCAAAGAACATCTTAGTTGCTTCAAGTTTTGGCAGTTAAAAGTAAACATTCTTGTATAGATTTTAGGTTATTTGAGTAAATACAAAGGAATACATTGGTGAATCACATGGCTAGAGTATGTTTAGTTTTAAAAGAGACTGCCTGTCTTCCAAAGGGGTTGTCCTGCACTGCTTTGCCTCTCCAGCAGCAGTGAGTTCCTGATGCTCCACCTCCACACCAGCATTTGATGTTGTCAGTGTTTGAGATTTTAGTCAATGAAATAATTGTGTAGTGGTAGCTTATTATTATAATTTGCAATTCTCTAATATGAAGTTATGCATCTTTTCATATGGTTACTTCCTGTCTGTATAACTTCTTTGATAAGGTATCTGTTCATATCTTTAGCACAATTTTAAATTGACATTGTTTTCTTTTTTGTTTTTCTTATTGTTGAGCTTTAAGAGCTCTTTTTATATTTTTGGATACCAGTCCTTTGCTAGATAAGCCTTTTCCAGATATTTCTTGCAGACTGTGGTTTGTCCTTTTAAGCATTTAACTTTTGAAGAGCAGAAGTTTTAATTTGAATGAAGTTCCATTTAACAAGTTTTTCTTTTGTGGATAGTGCTTATGATGTTATATCTAAAAAATTATCAAACACGTAGGTAGATTTTTGTCTCCTATTTATCTTTTATAAGTTCTGTTTCACATTTTTAAGTATATGATCCATTTTTAATTTTTGTGAGAAGTGTACAATCTATATCTAGATTGATGTTTTTAAATATAGATATCGCCATGTGTAGTGGCTCACACCTGTAATTCCAACACTCAGGAGGCCGAGGCAGGAGAATCCTGTGAGTACAAGGCCAGCCTGGGCTACATAAGTGAGTTCAAGGCCAGCCTGCATTATATAGTGAGACTCTGTCTCAAAAAAAAAAACAAAAAACAACAACAAACAAAACTGAGTGCAGATAGCTAGTTTTTCCAGCACCATTTGGGACTGTCACTTCTGCAGTGCATTGCCTATCTTCCTTTGTCAAAATTTGTGATTCTACCCATGCTTTACTTTGTTTTGTTTTTGGTCTCTTTTCTCCCTCTTCTTCAGATTGGATAATCTGTTTATTAGTCTTCAAAGTCACTGACTCTTTCTCCTTTAATTTTCATTGTGTTAAACTTCCCCAATGAGTTCTTTATTATTTTTTTTAAGTTTTGTAATGGGTGTTTTTTTAGTTTCTACTTCTTCACTGAGATATCCTTTCTTTTATTATGAGTATATTTTCTTTTATGTCTTAGAGCATGCATATAGTAGATAGCTGGTTTTTTTCTTCCTTGTCTGATAATTATATCATTGGGATCTTGGGATTGGTCTCTGACTTTTTTTTTCTTATAAGAGCCACATTTTCTAGTTTCTTTATATGTGTATTAATTTTTCATTGTATTATGGACATAGCAGATTGAACATTTTAGAAACTGAATTCTGTTTTGTTTTTTAGAAGACTATTGACTTACTGACTGCATAGGCCTTTATTTTTTACAAGCAGCTATTCTGGCTGAGATTTTAGTCACTGAAATAATTGTGTAGCGGTAGCTCATCATTATAATTTGCAATTCTCTAATATAATGTGAAGTTATACATCCTTTCATATGTCTTTCCCTATGGTAGGCAACAGCTCAAATTCAAGGTCAGTGTTTTAAATTGGACTGAGATATTTGTAATCTGATCCACACATGCATGGTTCAAGTGTCAGATATTTGGGCAGTTTTAATGTAAAATTTATACTCTTTCTCTTTGGTGCTCCTCTTTTCAGATTCTCATCACTTTCCAATGGCTATAGTTACCATGGACCTTGCTCTCTGATTCTTAAAGCCACTATGTCTGTATTTCAAAGTTCTAGTCCATCCATGGCAGCATGGACTGCTAGCTAGCTTTCAATAAATAAATGGGATATTCATTCAGTATTGTTTCCTTCTTCCAGGTGTCAGTTGTTCTTCATACCTGCCTATTCTTGTTCATTTCTAGGGCCTTCACATAGTTTTTCTTTAATTATTGTGTGGAGTTTTTCATGGTTGTGTGTGATCAAATCAGAGCATATTCACCCATGACCAAAAGTAGAATTAATGAAATTAGGAAGAAGACATGGAAAGGGTAAAGAAAAATGAAGCAGAAGACTGTTATAAAAATAGACTGTGACTATTAACTGAAAATTGTTCTTTACAATAAGGCTTCACAGTAAGATTATTTAAAGCATGTTAAGAGGTACTGACTGATCTGTGCCATGTTTACAAATCTCTTCTTGCATTAGGTGTGTTTGTTGTTGCTGCTAAACGAACGCCCTTTGGAGCTTATGGAGGTCTACTGAAAGACTACAGTGCTATTGATTTAAATGAGTTTGCTGCCAGGGCTGCTCTGTCTGCTGGCAAAGTCCCACCTGAAACCATTGACAGTGTCATTGTAGGCAATGTCATGCAGGTTAGTAGGGCTGGGGGTGGTGTTCACTTCTGTTGCTTACCATGATCATTTTCTAAAAATAATTTCTTTGCTGTGTCACATGATGAATAAATTAATAGTTACAAATTCATGAAATCTGTAATTTGAGTAATCCTTTGACTCCAGAATTGATGTGTCAAAGCAACATATATTCTGGAAATTGGGGATATCTGACTGGGGATGAATTTTAGTGCTTCTTATAAAGCAGACTGACCTCTTGGACTTGTGTGATACTAATTTGTTTTCTCTGGATGCCACTGAAGGAATTGTTACCTGGCTTTCCATCACTGTTACAAAATACCTGAGCTAATCAATTTAAAATGAGGAAAGGTTTATTTTGGCTTATGGTTTCAGAGGTGTCAGTCCATATCCCTGTTGGCTATGGGCCTGTAGCCATGAATACATCATGACAGGAGTTGTGTGTGGAAAAGGGCTGTTCTCATTGCGGCAAGAAGCAAAGAGACACAGGAAAGGGAATGCCCCTAGTAACCTAACTTCCTCCCACTAGACCTCCCTTCCTAAAGATTCCACCATCTCCCAGTAGTGCAATGGGCTGGGCTCCAAGCAACACCTGGGCCTTTGAGGGACATTCCAGATCCAAACTATAGCAGGAGGGTGTCAGTCCTACACAATACAACATACCTTCCGTACCTTTTCATACTTTAGGAGCTTGGTCACTGTTTGTTGTAGGAAACAAGGAGCTCCCTTACCCTCTATTTTGCTATGTGTGGTATACAAAATAGATTCTTTGAAAGTATACAAACATTGGTTGCTTAACAGAGGCCATTTTAAGGTGCTGTGGGAGTATATTAACTACCCAAAGTGAAACAAAAGGAGGTTATAATGTAATGTGAAGATATGATGTATATTTTTCAAAAGATGTCAGTGAGGTGAATCACCACTAAAGAGAAGAGAACTACAATGGATACGGAAAAGCTCTGGATCTTAAATTTGAACTTTATTCTGTCCGTCCTGCCATTGGGTGTCTTCACATCCTGAAAAGCAATACTTTTTTCATTTTTTTTTTGCAATTATGTCTATTGAACCTAAAATATTTTCATAAAGATTTCTTTTTTTGAGGCAGAGTCTTGCTATGTTTCCCATGCTGACTTTGAACTCTTAATCCTTCTGCCTCAGCCATTACAGGTACTTGCCACGAGGCCTAGCTGAGAATTCTTTATATTAGTTCAACTTTGCACCTCTTTCTTTTTTTGATTGGGGAAACTTTTGCCTCTGACCTAAAAAAGCATTAGAATAAATCAAATAGAAAAATGATACTCTAGTTTTTTTGTTTTTCCTAGAATTTATTTTAAAGGGGCTTTATTTCTTCCAAAGTCCTAGTTTTCCACAACAGAGATTCTCTTGAAGTTTATTACAAAGTCACGCTAAATAGTATCAGTTTCCTTGTGTCTGTGCTTCTTTCTACAGTTTTTCTTGCATTAAGTTTTATGACAGGCCAAGATAAAGTTTCTTGATAAGGATGTTATGTTTTTAATAGGTAAATATTTGGAGTTAGGATTTTATGTATAGAAGAAAACAGAATGGGTGTAAAATACTATTTGACAAATATCTCAAACGTGTTTTTCTAAGCAAGTTAAATATTATTTGATGTCACTTAGAATAAAAGAATTTTTTTCCCCCCTTAGGAAACAATGAAATCCAGTCTAGATTCTTTTTACTTCTTTTATTGACTAATTGATCTTTCTAAAATCTTGGATATGGAATAGAAGTGACAAGAAATTACTTAAGCCTATCTTATTCCTGATGTTAGGGGAAAAGCATCAAGTATGTTATCACTGTTAAGTGTGATAATATTCTCTGAACCATTTACCAATCTGTACATGTACATGTATTATAAGATTTGTAATTACAAGACAGACCTTAAGATAATAACCACTGACCAAGAAGTTTTAAATAACATTAATTTATAAAATAAGATGATTTCATCTCTGTCAAGGAGTGAAACAGTCAGTAGATTAATGGATGTTTTATTGAGCTCTTCCAATTTTGATCTGCATTCAAAACCTCTAACTTATAAATATACGAAATGTGTTGTCTTATTTTGAAAAACTTGAAGCCTTTGCAAAAGTTAAAAGAATTGTCCAGTAAGTACCCGAAGACTTTTTACCTGAGTGGACCAAGTCTTCAAATTTTGTCAGATTTGTCTTCTCTTTACAGTAACATTACATTTTCTTTCTTTTTTTAAAGTCATTTCATCTCCTCTACTCAAAGTATTGTCCTTGGACTAGCAACAAAAATGATTAGAAATGCAAAATCTGAGGCAACTATTGATTCAGAACTATAAGGAGATGCCAGAAATGCATTTCAGGTGTGGGATGCAGTGATTTAGTCCCTCTGCTACCTCTCCTGATCATTTGTTCATCTCTCCTCTTTACTCTCGAGTCTGCACTCGCCAGTCTGTTTCATGGTGTGGAATTATGCAAGATGCATTTAAAAGTAACTACTGCCTAGGCTCTGCCTTCCACCTTTCTGGTTTAGTTGGTTTGGTCAGGAGCTTAAGCACAAGTATGTGAATAAAGCTTCTGTAGTTATCCCAGTCTACAGTCAAGGTTGAGGACCCCAGCCTAGATGCTACCGTTAGTTTTGAGATGGCCACTTCCCTTCTTAAACAGCTCTAACTGTTACAAGTTTTTGTCTTATATTACAGACTTAATATAAGGATTTGTCAAGTAGTAAGCATGCTTACTGTCTTAGTTACTTTCTCCTCACGAGACATAATACCTAACACTGACAAATTAAAGGAGTAAAGGTTTATTTTGGTTCACAGCTGTAGAGATTTCAGTCCGTAGTTGGCTGCCTCCAAGGCAGAGGGGAATGTCAGAAGGGAAAAGCTCATAGCATTGGCAGGCAGGAAGCAGAACGAGGGATCAAGGAAGGAGAGAAACAGACCCTTATAAGGCACACCTCAGTGACCCATCTCCTCCAGCCTGGCTTCACCTCCTAAATCACATTTAGCTGTAAACTCGTTAGTGGACTAATCCACTGATGAGTATCATGCACCCATGATCCAAACACTACCCCAAAGCCCTACCTATGAGCTCATGAGGCTTTGGGAGGACATCAGATACAAACCATAACACTTAGTATATCTAATATCCAATTGACCATAGTTGTGTTGACAGAGATCTGACCAGAAACCTGAATCTGAACCCTCACCATCTGGATTTGTTCACCTACTCTCCTATCGAGAGTACGAGAGAATCTGATAAAATGGAAAGATGACTTCATTCACAATTTGGTCAAATAGGAGGGCAAGCTAGTATGTCTTGTTCAAATGCACAGAAGCACTTTCATTTATGGGAGAGTTAGAACAAAAGCCAAGAAATACATATACGTAAATTCAGTCAGGCTTTGGACATTTTGAAGTCCAGAAGAATGTTCTGCTTCTGTTGAAATTTCCTTGGCACCATGGCTGTCACGAGGGACACTGGACAAATAACGTAACTTTTAAAATTCTAAATTTTCAAGTTCTATTTCAACTTCTCAGTGTCAGTCCCACATTACAAAATTTTTAATATCACACTTAAAATGGTTAAGATGGTAAGGATTATGTGATAGGTATTTTATCACAATAAAAAATGCAAAAAACACAGTTGGCCAAATGAGGTCTCTACTCAATTTATAGGCACATATTATATAAAATGTGCCATATTTACATGGATTGTGTCCTACTTCAAAGCTTTATAGTTTATCATATGTGATTGATTGCTGACATTTCCATGTCTTTTTTTTTTTTTTTTTTGTTACTGGGAATCAAACTCACGACCTCACACTTGCCAGGCAGGCGCTGTGCTGCTGGGCTAAATCCCCAGCCTGCTTCCATGTCTTTTGTACTTTTTAATGGTTAAATGAAAGTCTTTATTAACAAAGGCCATTTTAATTCTTGTAAGTTCATCTTAATGTTAAATAGGATAAGCTGTTAATAGCTGTAATTCAACATTTTATTTCAGTTTAGTCCTTGTCAGTGAACTTGCTATGAACTAGTTCATATTTTAATAGAAGCCATGAATCATCAGGTATTTACATAGGTGTAGTTATCTTGGAAAATGAAAATTTATAGATGTTTTATCATTAGGTCAGAGTAAAAATCAAATGAAGGATATAATAAAGATGGGTTTAAAAATAATTTATCATTAGGCATTATACCTTTTTTAGAACAAGTATAAGTTACAAAAATTATACAGGTCACTTTTTGTCAAATATTAACATGTATTTAGCAATTTTTTTTAGGTATAATAGTATTTGAATTGTAAAAGCCATCTCTGGTTACAAAAAAAAAATCAAAAGTCTTATTGGAATTTAGCATAATTTACAAATGTCTGAAGAGTTCTTAAGCCACATCATATTTTAAGTAGAAAAACACTAATTTTATTTTATCTTTTTTAGAAGGGTACTGGGAATCGAACGCAAGACTTTGCTCTTGCCAGGCAGGCATTGTGCCACTGAGCTATATCCCTGGTGTAATTTTATTTTATTTTATTTTTATTTTGAAAAGAAAAGAACAAAAACAAAATAACAAAAGAAAGACATAAACAACACAGCACAAAAACAATAAAAATGATACAGAATTTCAAAACAAGGTGACAAGAAATTAAGAATGGTTGTTGTATTGTATATTGTTATCTTCAAAGTAGTTGCTCAGATAACCAGATATAGGCACCTAAGATTGATCAAACAATTAAACATTAATTGTTCCTTTCAATAAACCAATAGAAATTAATAGTACCATTATCTTAGCTATCTTGGAAAAACATTAATTTTAAAAGTTTGGCACTGTCTCTATGGTTTATGTACATGTGTTAACTGGTCTGTATAGGAAACCCAATTAAAGTTACTCATACTAAGCACTGTAAAATAAAGGCAAAAGGTAATCACCTTTTAACAAAAATTGTGTACAGCACTTCCAAGTATCAAGGATATCATTTAGTGGTTAACTGCCTGTTAGAAAATACTGAACAAAGTAGAGTTACTGGATTGTTTTTCCCTTGCAGCCACCCCGGTACCCAAAATAAGGATTTCTGATAAGTGAAGCCTGCAGTGCAATTTCCTTAGTGTAGACCATTCCATTTCCCCCACTGTGTACTTAATTTTCTCCCCTAGCACTCCTATACCCACACCATGGCCCCATATTATTAAAAACATTAAGTACCTGGGATTTTTGCTTCAGATCAAGACATCATGTGAGTAATTCAAATGATGTACAACTCCTCATGTAAAAAAGATATTTTGTGATCACAGTTACTTCAAAAAGTAATTATATTCAAATAACCTGACATATCATGCCTTAGCAATTATGAAACCATGATTTTGACATGGCACTTTATAGGTGAACAACGTGAAATGGCAGCAGATGTGAACAGCTGTTCTTCTGTTTCAGTGTTACGTGTTCTACTTAAAAGTGTGGCAAAACTCAGGTGATGACTTTATTCTTTACATTAGCATAACCAGCCCACGGTATAGTGTGCTAAGTCATAAAGGGAGAGAATACCTTTCCTAAGTTATGAAACTTTTGGCAAACCAATACAGTACTCTAATACAATAAAACAATATTTCTGTTGGAGTCATATATTACTTTAGTGATAATTTTCACTCCAGAAATACCATTTAAGTACCGAATCAAAACACTGTGGTTTCCAGCAGAGCAAGTTATTTTATACAGATTAATATCTTTTGCAATTTTACAGTTTTTTCTAAGTGAGCTCCTTGGGCACACAGGTCTAGTTTGCAGCTGCAAGGCAACTGTGTGTGCCTAGGAGGCGGCTCTGCTTTGTCCTGGGCTTGGTCCACAGGCAGGGAAAGTGCCAGGGTCTGAAAAGCCTTAGCATTCTACCTTAGGAAGACTCACAGTCAATACCAGTTTTTCCAAAAATAGTTATATTTTTAAAAAATATAAAAAAAGTTCTATTTTCACATAAATACTGGAACCATAACAATTAGTCGTTTCAAGTCATACTCACGTCAGATGATCCCTGTGACTTAGTCCCCTACATCTTAATGTCTTGATAAAAGTCACACAGCATTACTCTAGATTCTCAAAGAAAAAGTCTACCTAAAATATAGTTGTGTTTTTTAAGTAACAAATAAATATATTGTCAGCTTGGAGAGACCTGGTGCTGTATACCAACTTTCTTTACCATTTCTCTATAAATGTTGCCACCGTCATTGGCATTCTTTTGCTTCCCCTTGCTGAAGCTGCCAGTTTTCTGTTCTCAGCATTTAACTTACATACTACCCATTCCATTGCTTCTTCACCTTTGCCAGCATTTGAAGATACCATGCTTACCATCAGTCCATCACGGTCACTGCTGAGGCTGACTCCTTTCACTGTGATTATGGCTTCCTGAGTCAAAATAGTTTTTTTCTGGGTCCTGAGGACGTGGTTTGTATGTAAGTTTCGCATCTACTGAAACCATATTTGTAAATGAAATATTAGTAGGTTTAAATTCCATTGTTTTCCATACAGTATCAACTACGGAATGTTCTTGCACATATGTTTGGTTCTTGCTGCACCAATAATAGACTTCACAATGAAAGGCAGTCCCCACTCAGTGCTGAGAAGTCTGTGGCCATGCAGCTTTCCAGAGAAACCTATATGTCTGTCCAGCACATCAGCTCTGACCACACTCGGATTCATAGGGTTTGGGTATTTTTGCATCGCAGCTGTTGTAATAGTTTCCCACAGGTGGTCAAGCACAAACTCCGAAGTCCAGATCTTCATGGCGCCAGCGGCCTGTTTGATGTTCAGGTGGCACTAGGGGGCAGTGAGGCTGTGCTTGTTCTTAATGCCTAAATTCATAGAGGAAATTATTTTTCTTGTCCCTCTCTCTGGTCCAGAGTTCTTCAGATGCTATATACATGGCAAGGCATGTTGGTTTACGAGTGGGAGTCCCAAAAGAAACCCCGGCTCTCACGGTCAATAGGCTCTGTGGCTCTGGCTTCCAGTCCATTGTGAATGGATGTCAGGTATGGGCAACATTTTATTTAATTCTCTGAACATTATGTTAACAGCTTCTAGAATAAATGCTCCACTTCAATAGAACATTTTAGCTTTTTTGCTTTTTATGGTGGCTGTTAGACAAGAGAAAATTTAACTTTTCTTGGAAAAATATTTGATATGATTGAAATAGAAGTGTCGAGTGGAATAGCTTGTCATAAAAGGACAAGTACTGTGCAATTCCACTTACACAAGGTAGTAAAGTAGTCAGATTCATGGCAACAAAGTAGCATACTAGTTTCCAGGGGCTGGGGGTGGGGAGAAAGGGAGGCTTATTTTTAATGGGTATGGAGTTTTAGTTTTGTGAGATGAAATAGCTGTAGAGATGAATGGTAAGAATGATTGTGGTGCAGCGTGAATATATTCGGTGCTACTGAACTGAATGCTTAAAAATAGTTAAAATGGTAAGTTTTATGAATATTTTACCACACTATTGTTTAAAAAGCTAATCAGGACTATCATTTTGTTCTGTGTGTTTGTGATTCTGGGAATTGAATTCAAAACCTCCCCCATGCTAGGCAAGCACTCTACCACTGAGCAACACCAGCATCCTCAGCCCCAAGCTATCATTTTTACCTCGAGTACTTCCTGTGACCACGCACTGGGCTTGATTTACATTCACTATCTAGTTCAAACTTCACAACCATCTTGTGAAGCAAGAAGATATTATATTCCCATTTTTATTGGGTAAGGAAACTAATTACTAAGGACATTAAGATTATGAATCATGGAGGCAGAATTTGAACCCAAGTCTAAGAAAACTGAATAAAGACAGTAAGATAAGGAGGAGAGTTGAAAAATTTAAGAATATCCTTGAAAATATTTTTTGTTACAAAGGAGCTTAGTAATACTGTTGATAGAAGTACAAACTAGTGTGATCTTTTCAAATGACAGTAAGGTGCATATGTGTGTTCCTTTGAGCACAGGAGTATAGTAAAATCCAATTTTATTTATAAAAGTCTTTTCCTTACAAAATGAAATACCTATATATATTGTAATGAATAGATTATATTCACATTAATATTTATAATAGTATATACATTTTCCTAGCATTAATTTTAAACTTCAGACTCAAGCATGGTGGTGCATACCTATAATTCCTGCACTCAGTTCAAGGCCAGCTAAGCTACATAATGAGTCCAGGCCAGTCTAAACTATATAGTGAGACCCTGTCTCAAAAACAAACAAAAGTTTTAAACATCAGAGGCTTGTTGACTGCATCTTTTCTGAGAAATGCAAGTAGCAGAAAGATTTAGAAGATGAAATAGCTACTTTCTTCTAAATCCCTCAGATCGACCTAGTTCGTAGAGATCTCTGGAATCCTTCAGGTGCATCCATTAATAGGATAAGGGTTTTTTTTTTGCCTTTTTATTAGGCTTGTCATTTATTATCTACTGTACATTTATGTCAGATAAAAATCTCTGCAGATTTATATTGAGTTATGAATTACTATTCTTAAACTGGGAACAGTGGTACATGCCTGTAATTCCAGCTACTTGGGAAACTGAGGCAGATCATAAATTCATGGCCAACCTGTACAATTTGGTAAGATTTTGTCTCAAAATAAACAATGAGTGAAGGCTGGGAATGTAGTTCAGTG